GTGGCTCGTTCAACGTAAATAACAAAAATTGCAAAAAAAAAGTAATTTGCCTGATCTTTTTTTACCATTATCATCAATTATCATTTTAAATGGGCCCAATTGCAAAAAGCCGTTTCTTAAAAAACATGACTCAATGTATCTTGGAAACTAAGGATTTCTGAACATTTATAAGAACTTTTTTTTTTCTTTTTTTTTTTGACTGACTCCATCCCAGCCACTTTTTTAGATTCTACATTGTATTTTTCAAAAAGGGAGGTTCGAGATGAGGTGACAAAATTAACTTTTACATCACGTCGCGCACTGGCTAATTTTCAGTGCATAATTTGCGTCACAACCCATCTATGTCAAAAAACCCATCATAAATATGCATATACATTGGCGCGTCCTCTTCACATTCATTCGTTAATTTCGTTAAATTAGTTTATTTATAAACTTCATTAAATATAGCATAACCCGCGGTGACGTCAGATATAAAACAGCATGCACGTGGGTATTTTCTTCTCGTAGACATAAGGTGAGCGAGCGATGACAAAACATCTTATCGTTCAGGTTATATTGGAAACCAGGGTCGCCATTGCTATTTTCATTTCGTTATTTATCGATTTACGATGTGCAAAACGTAATGTGTTAAAAGGATTTATAAAATGCGTGCTTTTTAAATAATAACCAACAAATAAAACTCACCAATAGTTTCCAAGTAAATTTGTGTGTGTGTGTGTCTTAATGGAGGCGTATGTCAAAAATCTAAAGTTATTATTAAATAGTTGTTCGGTATAATCTTGCCCTTATCTTAAACAAACGGGAAATCAATTAACGAATCGTCGATTCGTTCTCCAGTAGCAAAGCGATAGTAAAATCGCGATTTATTTTTGGAGCATAATTGTATACCCACACACGCGTATATACAAGAAAAATCTGCACCCAACATCAGGAAAACCATTTACAAAGCAACACTAAAATAACATAAAAAATCATAAATTACCCGAAACTACGGGCATTTGAAAAATCAACAAACATTTATTACTGAAATTTCTCTAAAATAATGAAGCAACACCTAAAAATATAATTTCAACGATTGCAAAGCGCGGAACGGAAACATGCAAATCTAGCAATAAACGCCTTAGAATGAATCGATTTTTCGCGCCGACAGCTCTAGAATTTTATTTAGAGTTTAATTTAGCGTGTTTACTTGTTTTTTTTTTGTTAACGGCGGCCCCGATGCATAGACTATAGGGCGGCCCTATTTTCGGACGTTCTAGCTAGAGCGTGCATGGTGACGACTTTATATATTCCCGGGGATCGATGAAAATGCTTACAGTGACGTCACCTCCTCACCGGAGGCGAATCCTTTGACACACGTTTTTGCCTTTTCCTCCATTCGTTTTATTTTCACCCCTGGTTTTCTTGATTTCTGCACCGAAAAAATCCTTGCAGCACAATTACATAATTTTTTTTCTTTTCTTTTAAATTTAGCGCAAATGTATTTTACTAAATAGATAAATTTTGACTTCAATTCAATTATAACAGTGTTGTAATACAAATTTACTGCACCATTTCAAGTATTTCTTCAGTCTTTCAAATATACAAAATGTTACGTGAAGATGCTAATCTGTAATTTGAAACAATTCAACCACGTGTTCACCATTGATTTTTGCATGTTCAAACACAAGATTGTCGAAGTTTTCCATTTTCTATTGTAAATAAATTATTTTTAACACCGAAAGACACTTACTCACACTTACTCGTTCAAAATGGGCATTACCAATTTACCAATCAGTATAAGGACTTTAGTAGATCAGTGCATTCCAATAATTTCGATATCTAGAACATAATGTGGTACCACCTGGAGCCATTTTCACTATAATTTGCTTGAGAGATGAATCTATTAACATTTTGCGAGTTACTTATTTATACAGGTATTAAATCGTTTAAATATACGAAAAACTTAAATTGTACATGCTGCTACGTCGATGAAAATTTATTTTTACAAATCTTCTGGATTCCTCAAGATTAACTGAGACTCGTCAACGAAACGCCAACAAATCCAAGTTCCATTTGTCAACAAGCGACGCAGTTATAAATATTTCATTTACTCTTACGAATTTTAGAACATTTTTTCCCACATTTAATTAAAAATATGATAAATTTTCCATAAATGTATACAGAATGTTTGGCGTAGGGATGGCCAACTTACTGGGCGTATTGATACGCAAAATCCAAAAATATTATATTAATAATATTTTTTTTCAGTAGTATTTGTAACTAATTATAACTTCATTAGGACAAGGATGCCTTACAGACCAAAAACACAAGAAATAAGTTTGAGAAATATTTTTGTAAAAGCTGCATAAGGGCAAATGTCAATTTTAAATTCAGAAATACACAAGTTTGACGATAATTTTGATATTTTACATAATCAATCAAAAAGCAAAAAACTAAATCTGCTGGAACCAATTGGATTTAAATGCCTCTCTATTGTTAAATTTAAATTTGTAACCCTACACTGGTAATTAAAAAAAACTATTAGTACGTGTTTGTAGGTGTGGGAATATTGTCATATTTTGTATTTGAGAAAGGTGCCGCCGAAACAGCTGTCAAAGTAATAAATAACTGTGAAAAATCACATTTTTTGTTCTAATTTAATTGTGTAAAAAATGTTTGGTTTCATATAGTTAATTTCATAGAACTTTTTTCTGTACGAAAACTGAAAATAGAACCTTAAAAACTAACGTCGTATATTTTTGTTCGGTTTTTATTTAAATTTTTTAAATGCCGTACACGTTTCGCATTGCCAATGGGACTCGTATATCGTGAAACGACAAAGACAAGAGTAACCAGAGGGAAGGGTGTAGAATCTGAACTAGTGATAAATTATTCGGCACGTATTTAGCAAGCCCGATGGATGTAAATTAAATTTCCGCGAAACGGACGAGCTAGTTTGAGTATTTTATACTTAACGATCGGGATCAAACGACTATTTGCGTGTTTATCGAATTTTTGTTCGTATACCATCCTACGTCATAGTATTCTACAGATAAATCATGAACTAGAATCATGAAAACTTCTTTAAGACTTAGAAACTAGACGAATGGTCCCGAAAATAAGCTGAATGTATTAAACCAGAAGTAAAATCAATGTATTCACAACCACCACTAAGTGGGCAAGATCTAGCATAAGTCCATCGTTTGCGAGTAGGCCACACCAACATATCGTGAGGGGCATACAAGCTCTATCCTAAGTACAATATGGAGATACGGTTCTAAATGATAATTAACGAAAAAATTTGCAATATATGAAAGAAAGAGGAGAGACAGAATTTCAATAAATATTTCAGTGATAAAATCAACTAAACTTTTTTCTTTGAGCGTTTAAGACAAATTTAAAGAAAACGCTTTATTGAAGTATCCGTGTAAGCAAAATAGGATAGAAAAAAGTAAAAAAGAATCAAGTTTGTCGGATTTTTTTGGAAATTGGCACATTTGCAGAAAAATGGCCAAATTTTTAAATAGTTGTTATAAAAATTGTGAATTTTGACCAGCAAGTGTTTTATTTTTGACGCAGGATCAAAATTTGCCAAAACTTAAAAATGTTCAGATGCGATGCGGACTTAAGTGGTATATGTGACAAAACAGAAACTTTGCTTGCTTCAACTTGCTTAACCTTATTGGAATAGCGGGAATTACACCGAAGTAACATATAAGGAGAAATTAGCCAGTTTTATTTTTTAAATTTTATTTACTTGCGGAGTAAACGATTCACACATTTTAACCATTTTCCCAGATATTTATTAAAATACTTGCTTATACTCCCTCAGAAGAATAAAAATAACCTTCATTGGCTTTTAAATTTCGTCTTTGTCGAGCAAAATTTGGTATGAAAAAGGTAAGTATTTTCTAGGTGGTTTCCCTCTCGGAAATAGGCCTCTACCGGAAAAATTAAATTCGCTATGTGCAAGACAGTCGAGGCTAATGGAATTAAACAAATAAAAATAAAAAAAATTAACGGAGAACCCTTAAATATAACCGGAAAAATCTGCAACGGCTATTTTCCGGTTTATTTCGGTTTGTGCTAGATTGCCGACGTCAGGTATAGATTATGGCGTCAGCTTTTAATTTGGGATTTTGTCAATTAAATGATAAATAATATAAATAACCGGGGTTGTCTTCGTTCGAAAAATTTCATTATGGGATATTCATGATTTTAAACCGTTCGACCAGCGGGGATTAAGGATACGATGTGAGAATATCGATTAATCTGAGCGAATATTACAATAACCGTGTGCGAATAACGTAGCTCAGAGCGACGCAGAGTTGTTATATTACGAAAATATCCATCTAGTTGGAAGCCAGCGGTCAATGCAATGCACGTTATTTATAGAAAAAAATATATATATGACAAAATAGTTTTTGGTGTGAATAGAAAACGGCAACTAAATTCTATACGCGACTCGCGGTGTGCGTGCGCGCGTGTATGTGTGCGTATAAAAGCGGCATTTTTTTTCAATTGTTTAACGAATCCGCGCGATTCCTTCGCAATTAACGTTATTTATAAATAAAATCCCTGGTTGGTCTGACATATATTTCGCGATTATGCGAACGAATCACGCGTTTAATTTTAAATCGCACACCACCAAGGTTATGTTAGGTATACACCTGACGTTTTATTGTTAAACAAAAATACAACAAAACGGGCTTTACATTATCAACGGAAATAAAATGTTGCCGCCACGCCGAGGGGCGGAGGCGGAGGTTTTTATCTATTTTGATGTTGAGTCATATTTTACTCAGGCAAAATGCCGGACGTGCATTAAAATCGCCGAGATTTTCGGGCAGCGCGCGTCGAACTATTTATTTCGGGGTTTTGGAGTTTAGTTTTTTCGGCCGTGGCCCATCCCGGTCGTGGATTGAAACGCGGACGACGTGACCCAATTTTATTTCGCAAGGATGGCGGCGTCGAAACGTTCTTACTTCTTGCTAAAGAGCGGAAGGCACGGTACTCACTTTTTAATTTGGTCCAATATGTTTGCGGCTGCGGTAGTTGGTCGCCCCGAGCCTTGTCTAGTCCAGCGGCGCACAGTTGTGGGGTCAGGTTAACATTGGTCACCCCCGAAAATGTGTCTGAAGGCGGCCAAAAAACGACTTAACCGGACACTTCACGCGATGCACACAACTATTCGCTGCTTTCGGCCTTCTCTCCCTTGCAGCCGTCTTTCTGATTCTGCTTCGAATTCGATGTGGGCTCCGCCACACTGACAGCGCCAGCCGCCAGCTCGTTCCTCTGCGCTGTCGCTCCGTACCGTGCCTTGCCTGCTTTCCTGCTTACCCTTACCTTCGCTCGGGCATTAGTTGCCTAGCAGGACGCCAGAGGCGCGACCGCCGGCACCGCGCGCTTTTAATTTAAGCTGACGTACGCCGCTGAATTATGATATAGAGTCGCCGGGAAAATCGTAATCTTGTTTCTTTTCCGATCGTCCGTTTTTGGATTGTCACATTCTATTTGCCCCCGCGGCGATAACATTTTCGCGATGTTTTCATCGGAGTTCCCGAAAGTCTCGCCGGTTTCGGCCAAAATTAGACCCGGTCTCGAACTCGGAGGTTTTATTGGACGAAATCGACTAAAAGTCGAAGCTTAGAAAACCGCGCCAAGGACCGATCGGCACTTTAGGCAACCAGAGATACAAGCGAACGCAATAAATTTGCAGTAATTTTTTCACATACTAGTAAAGTGTGTCTCAAAGTATATCGTCTCGGCTTTTATCGGATCTTCCCCCAAAATGTAATTTACGACCTTATTCGTTGGTAAGGGACAACAAAGGGGCGAGTCAGGTACAGCATCACTAATTTTCCGAAGAAGCTTTTCAAGAAACCTGCCGGAATTAGTGGACAATACTAGACAAGATATGATAAGAAAGAAAAAGGAAGCTAGAAGAATAATTATTAGTCGAGCCACCATCCACAGTTATTTGTAAAATGGGATTTACCGCAAAATAGGCAAAAAAAAAACAATTCGTAATGGAATCTCACGCACACTTGGATACTTGGTTACCTTTAAGAAATTAAAAAGTACATAGATAGGCAAACATGTACAATTTATCCAGATGACACTTGGTTCGATATATACGATACAGTATCCAAGGGATGCGTTGACTGCAGTAAAAAATGTCAAGCAAAAGCAGCTTCAAATAAATCAGAAGAGGGATTTCATTTTCCAAAGAAACTTGCACAGTCTAATGCAATACGTTTTATCAAACTCCTGGATTCCTCCTGCGTTGCGTTTTGTTGACTTGAAATATAACATCAAAACCAGATTTACCACTTGTCCAAAAATATCTCAACCTCTTAGATCCGTCAAAGACAAAATTCCATATGCATAGGAGGCAAAGAAGAGCACGGACGAAAAATGTCAACTAGGCTCAAAGAACATGAAAGAGTCTTAAGACAAAGACCAATAAAATCATCAGCAGTTGTCGACCACAATCACAAAACCGGATATAAAATTTTATTTGATAATACGAAGATTCGTACATGCAATCAATTCTTCTACCAACTAAAAATCCGAGAGTCTATAGAAATCTATAATCTTAACCGCGACTCAGGGATATGGGAATCAGTCATCTGAGATGGTATTAATGCCCCTCATTTAACTCCGTCCCTCACAAACAATATAAAAGCAGGTACAGAGTAAAACGCGAGCCAGTTTCAGTCAAGCTCTGAAGAAGCCAACAGGATGATTGGCGAAACGTCAGCAAGTTCGAGTCAACAAACACCAACGCAGGAGGAATCCAGAAATTTTGTAAATAGTAAAAGGGTATATAAAAAAATTTAAATTTTAAATTGGCATTAATTAAATTTAAATTAAATTGTTTATTGTGTTTTTCTCGGATGTTTGGCGAAAAGTTAGCTTGGCTTGACTGCGAAATTATCTATCACAACGCCTGCTACAAAAGGCCCAAATTTCATTAAGTACAAAAAACTGAAATTCAAGGATGATTTTGATTTTGAATCCAGTTGGAAGACAGGGCAACTTTTGAAAGTGTTAAATTCATATTTTATTGTTCTGTTAAGCTGAAACTGTTTCAGTTAGACTCTGAAGAAGGCAACAGGATGATTGGCGAAACGTCAGCAAATACGAATTATCAAGACCCGACGCAGGAGGAATCCAGTAGCCTGTGGAAGTTTCTTTGAACAAACAAATGAATCTGTTTTACGTCTTCCTCCATATTATTTGTGACAAATCAATTAAGTTCCGAGTGCAAAAAATTTAATTTGAAATCTACCTATTAAGAGCTGGAAAGTGCAGCATAGGATTTTGAAAGCAAAAAAAATCGTTCTTATTTAGGTAATTATTGATAACCTGTACAAATTGAGTGTCATAATTTTAGAATACCTTAAAATTTTAATTTGAAAATGTACATTGCGAATTACTGGACTATTAAAAAACCGAATGGCAGAAGCAACACCAGCCGATCGTGAAAGTAAACTTTAGCGTTAATTTTAAAGCCCGTAACAAGAAATCGAACGAGAATTCCTCGCTTTGATAAAACGATTCGTTGGCCTCATTTTCAACGGTTGATAAGTAGCTATATATATTATACCAGTGCATCGAACATTTACAGTTGATTTAGATTTTGACTGAACTTGAGTAACGCGTATTCCGTATTATATCCAAACGCATTTGAATCGATGTTTTCTCTCAAACGAATGCCCCATCGAATTACGTAAAGAAAGCTCGGCGTTTGAATTGTAACTTTAACTAAAAAGGGAAGAACGATACGATCCAGGAGACCGATTTGACGCGATGTTGTTATTTAGGAATTTGCAATGTAAAGCTAAAACAGCATTAAATATTTTACGGGCGATAAATTTCTTCAGACACGGCGGCGGAAAATACGGGCTTTCATAAAAATGTTCTCTTTACTTTGACACTTTTACTGTTGATCCGGTTTACCGACACTGAAAACTGTTAAATACCTGTCATAAAAATTGCTTCTCTATAATAATTTTAAAAGCGTTTTAGAGGGCGAAGATCGCAGCGGGGAAGCGATAGGTATCGCTTGGATCAAGCAAAATAATTCCGAATTTCCATTCCGTTTTTAAAAACAAAAACGTTTTACCATCAATTATTGCTCTCTTGTCGCGCAATAAACGGAAACTGCGCTTTATACGGGTTTAAAATAGATACCTCAAAAATTGTTTTATATGCGAATCGGATATCGTGCTAAAAGGCTGTTTGTATACCTATATGTTCATTTTGTCATCGTCGTGAGAATTCATTGACTCTCGCGCGCCTACATTTGTTTAATATTTGCATTGCATATAACAAATCTAGAAAAGGGAGTAAAAAGTACGTATACAATGCGACAGTCTCTGCGTATTTATTTATTTGCTTTACGATTTTGTTATAAACCCAAGAACGTGCATGTTTTGCATTTTTTTTTTATATTAAATACCTACGCGCATAAAATGTTAATTCTGTGTCATGGCGATTGACGTGAAGAATGATAAAAGTCAAAGGATTAAGAAAAACGCCTAAGTTACTATAATACCATAAACATTTTATTTATTGCATATCCGCAGTAAATAAATGTGATATTTACTGATCGTTACGGTTCTCATCCACATCCAACGCAAAATTTTAATATTATATTTATATTATATTATATCTATATAGGAATTAACATAATTTTTGGATGTGAAAGAAATGTTTTAAGCCACGTTTCGGTGGAGTGTTTTCGGTCATACTAACCTCCGCCACTGGCCGAAAAAAATCCTGCTAGTAGAGCCGAGTCTTCCCTAATCGACAGGGTTCCTGCACAGCCTGCTGGTTCGTCGTCGTGCCGCTACTGAACCGGTCCAGAAAGAATGCAGACGACGTCGCCATGCCAACCGACTGACGCCAGCGGACGCCCTCTGCACAGTCCACCACGAATTAACCCCTGAAACATAATAATAATCTCTCAAATCATATTTTTCCAAAAATTGACCGTTCATACAGTGCGACCTCGATTATCATCATCCGTTCAGTAAGAAGACTGTATAACGATCTATGCAAGCACCTGTTGTATGCGAGATGTTCAGGGGAATCGCGCACAGCATATTTTTCAAATAAATAAGTAGACACTGATCATTAATTTAATCAAAAAGATTTTTATATAAGATGGTACACGGAGATCGTAAAAATTAAATTTACTATCGTCGTGGAGAAAGCAAAATTCAACAATCAATTGAGGCAATTGAGCTGCAGTCTGGTCTTGACCGCTTGACCTTTGCAAACAAACTGACGAATTATTGAACAAGTTTTTCGTCATACCAGACGCACAGGATTTGTTATTTACTCGAAATAGCTAATTTGGATTTGATGGGGAGCGCAAATCTACGCTTTGAAAGCTCGTATGTATGTATGTATTAATTGTATAAGTACAACGCCGCAAAAACTTGCATCAAAATTGATTTTTATAAGGCCTAGAGGTATAAATATAAAACATAATACGTATAAGTGAGCATTCTATATTCACGGAGAAAAGGGTGCATGCATTTAATCGGCCGTGGATAATGAGACGTTGCCGCTTAAACTTGAATTTCAAAACAAAAAAAAAACTCTCAAATTTTATTTATCGCGGTCGTCAATATTTACGGGGGATTTTTATGGTTGCTTTTATCGATTCATTTAATAAGTATTTTCCGGGTCATTCAATTAGAAGACACCATAAACTGCGTTAATATGAAACAACTAAATGAATTGGACGTGGTGAGTCATACGAGAAATCGATTTCTTAAAGTGATCTACTTTCTGAAAAATTTGGCATTTACCCTGACGATCGGAGTAATGCATGCTCTAGTTCTCATGCGACAGAGTCTATACAATGCGATAAAACACCAATTAAATTCGAAATAAATGCACTACCAATCAGGGAAAATATAATCACTACATAACTGCCAAATGATTATTATATTAATATTACCGTGTCTGTGAGAGGTACGAAAACCTAAATGAAACGAGCAAACTATTCAGAATGTGAAAATACGTTCGTAAATGTTCGGTCTTTGGGGTATCAATAAAAAAGCCTTTTCACACCGTAACCAGAGGCAACCGGTTGACCTTGTCTGATAAACCAACCGTATGTAACCAACTGATCATCGATCAAATCACATCCATTTCATGCTAAAGGAGAATAATCCAATTTGAAATTGAATATTAAATAAAGCTTTTTATCATTTAGTTTTAATTTATTAAATTAAAATTGATGTTTTAATTTGGTGGAGTTTTAATTAGTAAAATTATCAATTTGTTATTACAACCACAGGGATGTCAAAATGACGTCATTGTCAAGTCAAAAGCTTAAGCGATTTGTCGGTGACGTCTTATTGACGTTTTAGATTTGCCTCGGAATAACATAATAGTACATTATGCAACAAATGCGGTAAACGGCATTTGGCTCACGAGTATATTTGATACGAGAGGAGCGCAACGGAGCGAGTGTTTAAACGAATGACTTAAAAAATTTACCGAACGTGTTGTTTTTGGGTACATTTACGCAAAAGAACACGAATACATTCCCTGACATGACCGTCAGAATTGACAAACGTCAAAATTCAAGGCGTGCGAAATATCTCCGAAAACATCCGATTGCTCGCAAACTCGTGCGGTAAAAGCCCGGAATTGTCCGAAGTGGCGCGGATCCGCGGGAAATGAAACTGACGCGATAAAGTGACGCTTCCCGCACGGTAGATCGGTGTGTAATTAGGTATTTCACAGGCGGGAGTAGAAAATTAGTGCCGTAAAATTATTAATTAGTTTTATATCCAGAAATATTGTCAATGGGAGGCATTGCAAAAGTAAGATAAAACTATGTTACGTCAAGAGTAGGGACTTTTTTGAATTAAAACTAAAATCTGTGAATTTCATGATCAATTATGGGACGTTTTCAAGAGCGCTCAAAGTCGTATTTTTGTTTTATATAATATCTAAATAGTTTTTGGTTTGAAAAGACGATAATAAGTTGATTTGTATAGTTCAGTACTTTACCCTTCGAGGTTATGTTTAATTTCTAGGACACTGGTTAATAATAGTAATTAATAATAAATATGAAATAAAAATCTTAAATTGCCAGAATAAATGTCAATTTAAATTTAGCGCGTTTCTTAAATTTGTTGGTCTAAGTCGCTACTTCAAAGTTTCCTTTAAAACTGAATTTTCGACTCTCTTCACTCACTCATAGATGGCACAAAATTTTTATAATCGCCGTACGTCTATGTATGTTAATCTATCGCTTGACAGCACCTATCATGTGTTTGGAATGTGTACACAATAAGTTAAAATGTAAATATTTTTTTAACATTTAATTATGGATTTCGACAGTCCAGACGTAATGAAAGATTTTCCCGGATTGTATTCATCCGACTTGAAAAAGAAGGGCAATGATAGCGATTGTACGTATTACCACGTAGATAAGATTAGATCTGTTATTTACTTAACTGTATTTGATTTTAGATAACGATGAGACCGAAAAATGCAATAAAAAAGAAATGCTCATAGGCAAGAGGAAGGAAAAAAAGGACAAAAAGGATAAGGATAAGGGTTATGCCGCCCTAGAAGGAGAAAGTTCTGATGAAGCTAGGTACGTACATTTACACATTTCCTTATGTTCTGTTATGGAGGTCTCAAAATGATTTCCAAAATCGATTCTAATAATTTATAGACAACTGTGGTATTTAGTCGTTTTTCTAATATTTTTGATATATTACAATTACATAAAACTTTCTTGTTTGACACTGATAATGAAAGTGTCAAAAAAATAGTGTTAATTATTAATATTAATATAAAATATTACTTTTATTTATTACTCACTTTTATTTACTACATACACTCTTTTTTAATACTTTCTACAATGAATATTTTTCCGCGCGTCTCCATTTAAAAATTTTGGTAGGCTTAATATAAAAAATATATAATTTTAATTATATACATATATACATTAAAAGCAGTTTCTTCATTCACCAGTGCACAGAAGTCCAAGAAGTCTAAGGCATTTAAATTTACCAAGTCAAAAGATAAAGAAAAAAGGGATAAAGATGAAAGCAGCAAGAAAAATCGCCAAAAGAAGGATGAAAAAGCTTCTAAAACTAAAAAAAGATATAAACCAAAACATTCCTTAGAAGAAACCATTGATATAGCAGGTAGGATGAAATTCTAAGCAAATGTAAAATTATGATTTAATATATAATTCGATTCCAGATGCCCTCCCAATATTTGGTGTAAGTTTAGATCTGGCAGTTGAAAGAGGAAAATGCCATGATGGAATTGCCATACCATTACCAATTCGAGAATGCATTGATTATATTGAAGCAATGGGTTTAACATTTGATGGAGTATATAAAATTAGTGGCCCCAAAACAAAAGTGTCACAAATAAGAAAAATGTATAATCATAGGCAAAACGTAAAACTCGCGGATTATGATATTCCCACTGCAACTAGTCTTTTGAAAATGTTCTTAAGGTGGTATCACCAATAGATGTAAATTTTGATTTTTTTTTTCCACTTTTGATTTTTGTAGGGACCTCCCTGAACCCATATTCACAAATGAACTAATAATTCGTTTTGAAGAAGCTGGTGCCATATTAAATTTTAATACCAGAGAAAAGCATTTGAAGAACCTGGTTGATGTGCTGCCTCCATTGAACAAGCTTTTATTGTCGTGGCTTATAATTCACTTGCACAATGTTACTTTAAAGGTGAAAAAGATTTTTTTTACTATACTTTATACAATAGATATGTTGTTTTTAGGAGCATATGAATAAAATGAATAAACAAAGCATTGCTGCTGCTTTAAACCACACATTCCACGTATCATCTAGACTTTTACAAGCGCTAATTCATCACAGCAAAGCTTTGTTTCCCAATACAATAATCACTAGGTATATACCTCCTTTAGAATCTGGTACATTGTTGCCTGACAAACCGCATTTAATTGAAGTGGAATTGGCCAAATTAGAATCTCTCTTGAACCAAATCCATCAAGAAATGAACATTGGATTCTTCTCAAAAACTAGGGAAGAACATCTGTGGGAAGTTCAAAGGGTCACCACCGAATTGAAGGTAGAATGTTAGCACTTATGTCTTCCATCGCATATGATTCATATTTTTTTAAGAGGAAATTGAAGAAATTTCAAAAAAGCAAGGACACTTCATCCATTAACTCGTTGTCAAAACAAAGCGAGAAATCTTCACAAGAACCGGACACTGTTGGGTTTGAAGATGCGAACGCTGAAGGTGATGTTAATGAAGACGAATCTAAACAATTCGCAAATGATTCGACAATTGAAAGAGTTGTAACAGAACAGATAAATCCCAGTACCAGCGAACAAGCGGCAGCTTCCGAAGTACCGGAAGACGCAACTGATTTGATTCACTCCAACAATCCAGGTCAAAAAATTGAAATTGAAGAGCACGAAGATGAAGAGGAATACAGTTACGATTCGGATGATAGCTCGACAGACAGTGAAATCCTAGAGGAATATTTATATTTCGACGAGAAATTTGTGGTTTTGCGATTTAAAAATACCATGTTGAAATTACTGATCGAGCAGCTAATGGAGGATATCAATTACGAGAGGAAGGATATCGATGAATACCAGCAGAAGATAAACGGAATTTTGCAGGAAACTCGGCCGATAAAATGTGCAAAAAAATATCCCAAAAATCCAAACAGCTTTGCGCAAGTACGCAATTTGTTGGTGAAAGAAAACCAGATGCTTCAAATTAAGAAAATGAATTTGGTCAGAGAAATCATGGAACAGAGAGAAATGTGTGCCGATTTGACCGCCAGAATCAAATGGGCTCTAAAAGATACAAAAGAGCAAAAATACCTGCAGTGTCAGCAAATTACCGCTTAGTTTTTGTAAATTGTTGTCAGCTAGATGGGAAATTAAGAAAACAAGTTTAAAAGCAGCGACGTTTTATTCCGTCTTAACATTAATTATCGGGTATACCTAAAGGAAATGAACATATTTGTTTTTTTTATTTTAAACATCCTATTTTAGAATTTTCGGGTTGCTTTCCTTGAATATCCTAGGCAACATTTCGGTAAGTGACGCAAAAACGGCGTGAGAAATGCCCTAAAAAATTTAATTAAATAATATTTTTCCTTTAAGTTTGAGAGTTTTGCTTACTTGCGGCAACATGAATTGTAAGTTTTTCAAATCGGACCCGCCCCATGACGCCATTTCTATCATGAAGCCTTTAACACATTTAAAAACCAGCTCGGCGCGTTTCTCGCACCAAGAAATAGTCATGTCCTAAGATAAATATACGAAAAAAAAAAAAATTAAATGTGGTGATTGAAAGAAAAGTCGCCTTACTTCGGTCATATCGTATTGAAGAAGCAGTGGTATCGTGAGGGAAGTGACGTCATTAGAGCATGCGGTCTTTAATATGTGTCGCAACCCCAAAACAACCGGATGTCTGCTGTTTATATCGCTTCCTCGCAAACTATCATCGGAAACTATGTGAAAAATTACGTGAACTTGCGCCAAGTTGGAATGTTTCGTCATATAAAAATCGCCAGGTTGCAAAAGTTCGCTATTTGCATTTCTATTGGTTTCCCCTCCGTTTTTTTTTAAATACTGCTGCACTTCGTTTGATATGTGGTTTAGTTGATCGTCGATATGAGGAAAATGAAATTCTGTACTTCTCTGACACATTTCTTGAAACTCTAAAACAATTCGATGAGCAAAAAAAAAAAAAGGAATACACAAAATTTTGGATTATATGCTTACCTTGAGTTAAACGCGACCCTATTTTGTTGTCCGTCATTAAAACTAAACCCGAAAGATCGTTTGAATACAAACCGAGAGCAGTTTGTAATATCTGGGGAGTCGGTTCAGATCTAAAAACTCAAATCAATTTTTCCGTCATGATTTTTTTCATAGGTGTAACACTCTTGGACAGCAAAAGCCACCACCTTGATTTAGTGAAGGATTAGATTATTAGGAGAATACCCATATTTTAATTTAATGGTTCTTAATTTCCGCCATTGCTATTCCTCTAAATTTAGATTACTAAAAAGGACCCTTAGGAAAATAGCATGTCTCAATAAAATTTACAGTAGTAAGGCAGCATATTATATAATTAATCCAAATATCACTCAATCGAAATAGTATATTATTTGAGTCACTATTTTATTTGGCACGGGCGGAGCGATTGTTTATTAAACGAATTACATAAAAAGTTTATCACACGTGTTGCATACTATAATTTTTCTACGACCGTTAATTTTTGGGTACATTTTTGCAAACGGCACGGATACATTTACTGACACGACCGTCAAAATTCAAGCGGATTCCGATTATCCCGAACCCATGCGGTAATATCCCGGAAATGTCCGAAGTGGCTCGGATCCGTGGGACAAGAAACTCACACGGTAACGTGGCGCTTCCCGCACACTAGATCGCTGTATAATTAGGTATGTTTTCTACTCCCTTCTGTAACATACCTAATTATACACGGATCTAGTGTGCGGGAAGGGTCACGTGAGTTTCTTGTCCCACGGATCCGAGTCACTTCGGGCATTTGTATAGTATAGTATGCAACACGTTTGTTAAATTTTTAAGTCACTCGTGTATTGAACTCGCAACTTAAAGACAGTTTACCGCACTTGTTGCATAATATACTATTACAGAAGGGAGTAGAAAAAGCAATAACTGAAAATTCATGTATGTGGTCTCCTTTTTTTATTATTTGTCCCAAACAATCTTGCCAATTTCTATTTTTTACCGCGCAAATTGTGTTGCAACAGAAATAAATGGGTGGGTCCAGTCCAACTTTTAATTTCCCTACATGCATCATCAATCGAAATTAACCAATAAGTAAGAATGTTGCGGTAAGGCGAGCTGCCGCGGCATTTCTTTCGATTTACGAAGCACGGTTCTTTTTTGTGTGGACATAAGGTGTTTACGTTCTCCTAGGCGTTATTGGTTCATCATTTTCCCAATCCCAGGCGAATGAGTAGTAGTAGTATTGCAAATTTTCCAATAATCCCTTAGTTTAAGAAATATAAAATCAAACTTTACCATGCGATTTAAGTTTTCAAACCTCTAGTGGTATTTCTTTTTTAATGCGTACATCAAAAAATAAAAACTGTTAAAAATGATTGTTTACGTTAGAAAATTAAATAAAAGTTTTATTGCTGATTCATTTGATCTGTAAATTAAAAACGCATTGTAATGGCTCCTTTCCACCAGTGTTCAACCTGATAATTTTATGTTTTAAAAAAACTCGGAATACGTACAATTCCTCCGCATCCTGAACAGTGCAAAGATCCATCACATTAGCAGATAAAATTCGAATGTTATGCATTTGTTTTAACTGAGAACCTAAGTGTATGGTAAAACTTTCTTCCAAGATTCCCGCATTCATATTATCCATATTCCTATTATGAGTGTTTGATGTAAATGCGTTAAAAGCTGGTGGTGTCAATGGAGAACTTAAAAGATAATTTAGAACAAAAAAAAAAAACGATTCCGGCGATAAATACCTTGGTGCGGGAAGTGACGAAATTGCTTGGTTTTGCTCAACCATTTGCATTATCCATTCCCTATATTCGCGTCGCTGGGCTTCTTTAATAGTGTCCAGTTCGCTTGTCAATCGACCTTGAAGCAAGGAATGGGTTTCATAATGTTTCGCAACCAAGTCATTTATTTTAGATTCCGTCATGCCTTTTTCTAATTTGTCTACTGCTTGGTTCATCTCTTGACTTTGCCTTTAAAAATTATTCTAGATATTTATTGCTTAAAAAAAATAAGTTTCTTACTTTTCAGATAATTTTTTTATCGAAGCGTTTTTCTCTTCTGTTTTTTCCCGCACAGTTTTAGAATACATGTGCTCTAATTGCAACATTGTTTCCAGTGCGGGTGAGTGCACTAATTTATGGTAGGCGATAGCAAATAACTCTTCATCTGAGGCGCATTTTTTTTCGCCAAATTCTACCATTTCCTTTAAACACTCATTTGCACCTTATTAACATCAAACGCGATACGCAATAGAAATCGAAATTTACCTCTCTCATAACTTTTTCCCAATCCTTTATGATATCGTCTACATTAATTTCATGATTTCGGGCTTTATTGATGAGTTCATGCGTGGTTCTTTGAAAATATTCCTTAGTTCTATCTTCAATAAACTCTTTCAAATTAATTTCAAGAGCTAAAAATTTAAATTAGTAAGGATAGTAGGTTGCAAAAGTGGTCGGACCTTCTTTTGCGTATATTGGTAGATCATGTTTTATCAACAAATACTGTGCAAGTTCTTGTATTGAATTTTCATAGGGTATAGTTATGGGATGATGGAATCCATATATAGCATCTGAATACGTATAGGAACTAGTAACTTGGCTCATTTTATTTGAGTAAACTCAAATGCTGATTTTTTCACTTTAAATGAATAGGACATAACCCCACTTCTTCTTTTAGATTCGCTTCTTCCCAATCCAGTGGGAGAAATGGAACAATAAGGACAAAAGTATATTAATCAACAATTTTTATTGACAAAATTAACAATGGCTGGGATATATTATGTAAATACAACTAGAAAAATATAAATAATTGTCAGTATCATAAAACGGTCAGCAGTAGGAAAAGCACAGTTAAAAAGGAAACAAGGAAATTATTAATGAAGATCTTTGAGGTTTACTGTTGAAAAATCTTCGTTATCTAACAGGTTAAGAGCATCATTTTCTGACATAATTTCAGGGACACCCAGGCTTTTTATTGCTTCTTCAAGGAGCTCATCTTCACTCTTAGTTGCAGACGGAACTAATTTTACCGAATAGTCGGGATAGGAGAAATTAAATAAGTTATTGCCATTATTAACTAATCCATACAATTTCTGTGATGAAGTTTGCCCTTTATTTTGTTTTGGTAACTTGTGATGCTTCTTAATGTGAACTGATCTTGAAGTATAAGCTGCTGCAGGAGCTGTAAATAACAAAAAAATGCTTAGTAGAAATATTAAAGATTATTATCATGCTTACACTCAGCATCAGTTTCATATGATGTACTGGATTCCACATGAGTCTGACTGTGAATCTTTAAATGTTCTGCTCTTCTGTAAGCTTTATTACATCCTTCAAAGGTACAGCAAAAATTTTTGCCTTCTCTATGTGTTCTTTCATGACGTTTTAATTGGCTAGCAGTAGTAAACCTCCAAGTACATCCTTCAAAGTTGCAGGCGTAAGGCCTAGACCCTGTATGACTTCGTATATGTTCTTTAAGCCTATAAGCAGTTTGGCATATTTTACCGCAATTGAGGTAACTGCATATGTATGTATTTCCATACTGATGGCTCTTGAGATGATTATCTAATAATGCGCGAATAAAAAATGACCTTGTACATTTATTAAACGTGCAATGGAATGGCGCGTCATTGTCGCTATGTTGCTTGCAGTGCGATAACAGCTCTTTGTCATTCCTAAAAGCACTTTCACAGCCAGTTACTGGACACAATTTTGTAGCTGGTTGAATATGACGTCTCTTTTTATGCTCATTTAAATTATAAATAGTTGTAAAGTCTTTATTGCAGCCAGGCATATCACATATATAGTTCCTGTGTTTTTCATGAGTTAATAAATGCCTGTTTAGTTGATTCTCTTTATAAAATTCCCATTTACAACCTACATATGTACAGGAGAATGGTTTTATTGCTAAATGTTTTAATCCATGGATTTTGGCTGAAGCTGGCTGGAGAAATGCTTCTGTACAGTCTCTCACCGGACATAAATGTACTTTGGAATTTATGTTTGTAATTATCTGTGGCAATGTTATTTTACTATTATCACAGATTGGATGAAAATTTACAGTTTTTACATTCTGATGACGTATTGTTGGTGGTGATGCCAATGATGTCATCTAAAATTGGAAAACTGCTCATATATTAACACCAGACGAGTTGTGATATAGGTAGTTTAAAATAAAAATTGTCCTTGAATAATTTCAACAGAAAAAAATACCACAGATAAACTTGGATACATTAAAACAAAAAAGAGTTACCTTAATATGCTGAGTAATAAATATCTGAGTACCATTACCATCCCGAATAAATAAACCAATGCCACTACTAATAAAAACCATTTCTACAGACACAGCAGGTCTTTCTTTCAATATTTCATCCTTATACTTTAGGCTTGAAGTCAAAGTAGTGTTTTGTTCTATTTCATTTTTTTTATTCAAAATCTTAGCCTGTGATTGTGTGATACCTTCAGTTCGATGTTTACTCAGTGTTGACGATTTTGGTGTAGCAATTACATCTTGCAAGGAGTCTGTTTCAGTTCTACTGCAATCATCCAGTTGTACTTGACTAAGCAGTGGGTCCTTTTGCAGGGAATAATCACTTGGCAGTGAATCTTCTTCCAATAAAGGAAATCTTTCTTCTGTTTCCATCCAGTTTTCAAAGTTCTCTAGATAGTTTTTAGCATACAAACAATAAGGATCTTCTTGCATTTCAATTTCCATTTTCCATTCAGATTATTCACATCGTAGGCCAAGTTAATATTAACCTCCAAGGAAATAAAATTTCCGTGCAAACTTTAGTGCTATTGAATTTTGGAACTTAATTCTAACATTAACCAAATAACGAATAATAAAAAAATTCGATTGAAACTGACATCTGTCAGATGATAAAGCAGTAGCGACATCTACAAATATGTGTGGGTTAAAGAATCACAGCAGATTGCTATTTTACCTTTGTAAATTTATGCATTTGATTGACATAACCAAAAAATGGTAAACACTTAAGAAATTATGTTTTACATTTAAAATGTAGTGGCACGTCATCATTTACAGGTCAAATCACAGTTCTACAATGTTAAGTAGGTATCTGAATATTATAGTTTGCCTAAATGCTTATGCTCAAAAATTTCAGCAAAAATATTTGTTAGGTACTGTCCCCTATGGCGAAGATATTATTCAAATTCCACAAAACCGAAAACAGCAATAATTTTGTTAAATATGGGAGGGCCGCAACATATTCACCAGGTTGGTGATTACTTACATCGTATTATGACTGATCGAGATGTTATTCAGTTTCCATTTGCACAAAAGTAAGAATTTTTTTGGGATGTTATATGAATTACAATGTATACTGCTATTTAGCATTATTGGGGAATGGATTGCCAAAAGGCGGACTCCTGATGTGCAAAAGAAATACCAAGAAATTGGGGGTGGGTCTCCAATCTTGAAATGGACTACACTACAAGGAGATCTGTTGTGTAAGCAACTGGACAAAGAATCCCCTGAGACTGCCCCCCATAAGGCTTATGTAGGCTTTCGTTATGTTCCTCCTTTTACTGAGGATGCACTAGAGGAAATGTTAAAGTAAGTTTTTCATTTGAATTTTTTGACATTGCAAATGAAGATTTTATATAAATTTCTTATATATTTATGTCTTTATTAGAGATGGAGTTGAGAGGGCCATAATATTTTCACAGTACCCTCAGTATAGTTGCGCTACTTCCGGGTCAAGTTTTAATGTTATATATAGATATTTCAAAGAGCATGGCTTCCCCAAGGGGTTAAAGTTTAGCATTATAGATAGATGGTCGGTTCACCCACTTCTAGCGCAATGCTTTGCCGATCTTATTCGCAAAGAATTGCATAAACTGCCAGAGGATAAGCGAAAGGAGGCAGTTATATTGTTTTCTGCACATTCTTTACCCTTAAAGGTACCATTGGTTTTGTGGTGTTTGCGTTGTGCTGTTCTTGGGTAGGTAGTTTTTATAGCCCATTTTGTAGGCTGTTAACAGAGGTGATTCATACCCTTCAGAAGTTGGTTGTACTGTTCAATTAGTTATGTGGGACTTAAAATACTGCAATCCGTATCAGTTGGTTTGGCAATCAAAAGTCGGTCCTTTGCCATGGTTAGGTCCTTTTACGGACGAGACTGTTAAAATGTATGGTAAACAAGGGAAAAAAACTCTCGTTGTAGTCCCTATTGCTTTTGTTAATGAGCATATTGAAACTTTACATGAATTGGACATTGAGCTGGTCGAAGACGCAAAGAAGGTAAGCTATTATCAATTAAATTGAATGTTCGATCGATTTTTGCTTCCTTTGACAGGCAGGCATAGAAATTATCAGGCGAGTTCCAGCACCAAACGATCATCCGCTCTTCATTTCTGCCTTGGTAGACCTGGTGAAGCACCATTTGAAGAGCAATTTGGCTGTCACTCCCAAGTTTCTAAATCGTTGTCCCCACTGCGAAAATGCCATATGCAAACAGAGCAAGGAGTTTTTTGCAGAAGTCTGCAATTTGTAATATTATTCTGTGCATTGTAATATTTTTTTACTGGCGAATAAAATTACCATGACAGTTTTTTTTTTCGTTTTTCTTTCTCCAAAGAAGTGGCTTTAATGGTTTTAATTAAAGGCAATTTTTTGCTCTCTTTATTTTCTTGTTGAATAAAAAATGAAGTCCTAAATTGTAATTCCACAGGAAGGAAAACCCTTGTCTTATAGCGGAATTTATCTAAATATTATTCTGGAAATCACTTAATGCATTTTCCAAGTGCCTGTTATATAAGATAACCGGTTGTGGTGCGCGTGTGGTGATTCACATTTTTAGAATTATTTATTGTTATTATTTATTCCGGCAATTCTAAACAAATAAAATAGTTTTCGCCGTGGTAATTGATGCGAAAACTGTTATTAAAACAACGCAAAATTGCGTTTCACGTCTGCGCGATTTGTCCGTGTTTAAGCTTATTATTTCGACGCGTTTCCCGTGTTTTCATTCACTTCACTCCGTTCGATCGTCGAAGCGGTCGTCGCGATTCTGCTTGTGTGATGTAGTTGATTACGAATTTCTAACCTCAAATTTTAATATTTAACGTATCGTATACAGTTTTTTTTCGTAGCTATGGTTCATACTCCGTTCCGGAACATTGGCGGCTTATTTTTTTTGTTTTGTTTGATTAAATTTTCCTTTTTCGTGTGTGTTTTTGGACACAGAACTTGTATTCATGTTTACCCCAAACATCATCAGGTTAGTTTTTTGTTTGATATTAGATAAACGCTCCCGGTTATGTTTATGAAATAAATGATGTTGGTTGTAATTGAAGCATAATTAATGTCCTGAAGATATTCATATACGTTTGTGTGTTTGTCGTAATGCTGCAATAATATATATAGTAATTACTGAGGTTATTATAGTTGTACTGTTTTCATTTAAATACCAGTATGTTTTATTATTATCCCTTCGCAGGAATTAGTTAATCCATTAATTTATAATTATTAACTTCTCAATATTTACTTACTAAATATTAATTAATCTTAATAAATACTAAAATATTTTCTATATTCCCTTTACTTATCATTTTGTTTCCCATCACAAACATCATTTTGTTTTCATTTCTACATTAAATTCAATTATTTTGTGTAATGTTTTGTGAAAAATCTATTCATTATTAACAAATATTTATGCAGTACATTTCATTCTATATGTATTCCAAATTCTCTCTTGCTCTGTATATTTATTTCTATTAAAATCCCTCTCGTTTCTCGACTATTGTTAAAATAATGATTTGTTTACAGCGGTTGATTCCATGTATTTCTGAAAAGAAGCATTTTTATTCCTTTGACATAGGATATCCTTGCACTACTTTCCTGGTTTATCATTTTCCCGACTCTTTTAAAGGAGTCTTCATGAAAATAATTATATTAGTCCTTTGATGTCAATTCCTATCTCTTTCTTTTTGCGGCTATTTAAATAAAAATTAGGTCGTGGATGAGCTTTGTAACAGAATGAAGCAGGACTTTTATCGTTTATCTTTGTTTTATTATTGTCCGCCGGTCGGACTATTCTTTAAATGGAAGGACATTTTTTTTATGGTGCTCTATTTGACCGTATTAAAATTTTCTGCGATAAAACCTTGGGGTACGATAAAAACGCATAAACATTTACAAACTAGAAATCGTGTGAAATTGACGTGATGACAATAAAAGTGTCGTCATTTCATTTTCAAGAACAAGTTCCGATAATAAGTATTCACCACCTGCTTTACGAACTCGCATCTGAATGTAAAATGGGCTCTAAATCTGTTTCGTTGACCTAGATAGAATAAATCGGTGTCGCGGTAACTACTGAAAGATCTTTTTAATAAATACACGTAAGGGACACGTGTCCCTTTTCTTGTGTGTTTTATTCACCAATCCAGGCCCTTATTAAAGTGACTTAGTTTCCCCGAAGCTTTCCTCTGAGGTCCTATATAAAAGTTTCTTTATCTTATTAATTCCATTGGCTTAGTACATCCCCAATACAGTGTTCACCCTCCATGAAAATAAAAAGCTGGGTATTTTCCCCGTTGTGTGTTCTCTTCATTTTGGTAGAATATCGAAACACCAGTTGCTTTTGTTTTAGTGAAAACGCAGTCACCTTGCTTCTACTTGATAGTATTTCGAATGTTAATTCTTACATAACCCTTTATTATATGAATAAATGATACTAATAATAATTAAATGCGACTCTGAATTGCAAATTTCCCATACGTAACAAAGTCCGTTTTAATTTTTTACCACCTTTAAACTAGACATTGTCGTAGTTTTTTTTTATGTGCTATTTTCTTATACAGGGAGTTTGGAAATATTTTCGTCTCCAAAGTCATCGTCAGCCTGTTTTAAAATTTTTGAAATAACATTCTATACGATTTATGTCTGAAGGAGAAAAAATCAAATTTTGTTGTTATTGTGTGTAGCTTTCATTCAGTTAAATTAATCAGAAAGAAAGTTATTTCAAGAAATTTCCTATTTGGAAGCATTCGTCAATTATGATGCGTCAGTTGGTTAAATTTAATTCTCTCGATTATGTTATGTTACGAAATACCCAAAAAGCATTTTGGACATTCTTATTCTTCATATTTGAATTGAGCTGCAGCTTGATAGTTATTCAATAACTGATAAGTTATCCACTGACAAGGATTTTTCGAAGCTTTGTACAGGGAGCATCATGTTCCTGTCCTTTCACTCATTCGCTTCCATTATCATTGGAAACGGAAGCCTGAGGGGAGATTCGCAAAGTTCAATTGCTCCGTCCGACCTTACTCTTTGGTTGCCTTAATAGGTCCACGAACTAGAGAATCAACAATCCCATATTTCGCTTGGCATTAAAAAAAATCTCCGAACACGACGCACTACGATTTTTTTCAAAATAATTCTGCTATTTTTGACTACCGTGCGTGGAATGAGGCCCACTCAAATGTTTTTTCAATTTTTATTTAAACAATGGCTATTAGAGTGTTATTATTCAATCTAGCTAACCTACATTTGTCTAAATTAGCCTGAGTAATGGGATGAATTAGTTTGTGACTTTGTCGAACCTTTTCATTTCGCTAGTCAAGTGTTAAATGCGATTTGTGCATTATTCAAGCAAATTAATGTATGTTTGCATTAATAGCACTCTCTACCTACGAGAATTGACGTCCAAGGCACTTGAACTCCTTATCGTGCAAGCCAATCACTCTTTCGCAAAAGCTCGTTTTGTATTGCTGGAATATTTAAAATTTCTTAAATTGTCCAAAAGACGTTAATTTTGCCTGCCATAGGCGTACATCGTGAACATGATGGGGAAAGGGGGGGGGAGGTTGATAAGATAGAGTACACGCATTTTTCTGCTAATAGACCGTTTTTGTTAAAAAAAATAGTTAAAAAGTGTAACCCGACAGGACAGTTAGTAATACCATGTTATGTGAAAAACTGCCAGATTTATAAATAAAAATGTTTTTAAATAAATATTAAATGGAGTAGCATTAAAAACTAATATTGTAATATTCCTATACAAGTACGAATGCGTTGTTGTTTTAAGCAAAGTGGTTTTTCTCCTTTTAGTCGTCTCGATTTTTATGTAATTATCTGCAGCAATGTTTTTTCCATAAACAGAATAATTTAAAACGTTGTTTGTTGTTCGTGGCTCAAATTTGTGTTAACTTGAAATAGTAGAAAACGTGACGTTCTTTTCCCGGTTTAAAACAAAAATTAAGTGCCATCGTGCCATCTATAGTTAGATAATTAAACGTCCGTCTGTCTATATCTCTCTTCTTCTAATTATTTGCACTCGTTTAAAAAAAATGCGATCCAAGGACATGGACACGGTCGTGCGTGTATCTTTACAAATCAATTCCTTATTGCTAACGTAATATTTGATTGTTGTGCCGCCTTAGGGGCACGGATGTTAATTTAACGTAATCTTTACGTAATGCTTAACTAAACGTTAGAAAGGAATGACGATTCTCCTAGCTGCATCGCGGAAGGATAAGAAATTAAATTTTTACAATATCAACGAACGGAGAAAGTGGATATCTGAGATGAATAAATGGCGGTTTGTTTAATTAATATTCGTTTGTGCGTGATTGTCGATTTACCACGTATTAAAATTTATTAATTTTTTTAAGTCGTTGCCAAACGCGCGGGTTAGGCAATTTTGATTTGGCCACCATTTTGTGTTGGCGATTCGTGAGTCCCCATTAACCACGAAAACGAAATTAAATTATGCAAACATTCGGTTTTCTTCGTCGAAATCACGCAGAAAACACGTGATGAAAACACCATTGATAAATAAATTTTTCTACTCCCGTCTGTAAAATACCAAATTACGCACCGATCTAGCGTGCGGGAAGCGTCACTTTACCGCGTCAGTTTCGTTTCCGACTTCCACTTCGGACATTTCCGGGATTTTACCGCACGGGTTTGGGAGCAATCGGATGTTTTCGGAGATATTTCCCACGCTTTGAATTTTGTCAATTCTGACAGTCATGTCAGTGAATTTATTCGTGTTGCTTTGCGCAAATGTAAGCAAAAACTAACGGTCGTAGAAAAAGTATAGTATGCTACATGTTCGGTAAACTTTTTAACTCGCTCCGCTCGTGTCAAATAAACTCGCGAGTCAAATGCCGTTTACCGCACGAGTTGCATAATATACTATTCCCATAATACATATATTTTTTTAAATTACGATAAAAACGGATATTAAAATAGGTCCCAATTTGTATGATTAAATTGAAAACTCTCCATTCACTACAGAAAAAGAAAATTAGAGTGACAAATCACGTCTTAGTTGCAAAAATAATTTTATTCGATCATGTTTTATTTGCCACATTTTTAGGGAGACCGGGTAGTAAGATGAATGGAAGAAAATAGATAATTCATCAAGATGAACTAACAATTTTAGTGGAAACCTAAAAAATTGTAGCAGCCACATTGTTTTAGATGCTGTTAAATTATTTTTTTATTATATTATTTTTGATTTCCCATGTTCTCGCCAATGTTTATGTTTTCCTTTGTTGTAGGTTCTTCATTCATATGTCGAGCCGCAGCATATCGTTAAAAAGCGCAGTATAAACCAGTCGTTAAGGATTTTGCTCTACTACGATCAAAGCGTGTACAGGTACGACCAAGTTTTTTCTCGTGCCCGGTATATTTTTTTGTCTACGTTTTTAATCAGAACATTAAATAATTGGTCCTATAAAAACGATTTGCACCACTTTCTATTGTTGCTGTTATTTATTTTCTCGTTTATTTAAAAACTCAATCGGTAGTAAAAGCGCTTGGATTTTTTTTTCGCAAGTAACTTCTAATCATAGGCGTGGCAATTCCCCGATTTGTTTAGAAAATAATGTAGGGTAATCGTTTATTCGGTTGGTCCGAAATATCTAAGCGCCATCCATTCACCGGCAAAAAACTGCATTTGTTATCCTCTTATTACGGAGCGCTTAAAAACTGGCGCATTGTGGTTGGTCGTTTAAATGTAATGGTATATGTTTTTGTTACAGGCTGGACGAAGAACGATTTGATTTGATTAACGTAAGTAACTTTGACACGTAATAAAATTTTTACGACCCATCTATCAGTCTAGAAAGTGCAGTTGTTTTATTAAAATTATAAACGCTTATCTTTATGAGTTGTTTTTAATATACGAATTTCAACCAGGCAATTTTAGGCAGTTAATTGTAATTACATACCCACCGAAATAAGAATAGAGTTAAATTATAAATTGCTTATTTCGTTTATTAATTTCTTTGTCGACGAAACGTTTTATTTTGGTCAATATTCTATAGCCACATTTAAAATATAAAAAAACAATGTTAATCTTAACAATAGTTATCACTCACGTCTTTCACTTTGAAGGAACTACATCGCAACACAGCTTAATCATTTACATCAGTTTCTTATTGTGCTGCACCGTACAGTGCTATTTTTGCGTATTTTCTACTTCCTTGACGATGCCGTCAAAGTCAAACACATCACTACTGGGCATATCACAGTTGGTATCGTTGGTGCCGCTTTTGGCGGCATTTTCTTCTATGTCGCCCTTCATGACCGACATATTGGTCCGCTTCCTTTCTTTCATCCTTCCACTTTTTGACAAAGAGTACCGCCTGTTGAGTACCGGTATGTCAGTTCCTTTATCGTCTTCTTCTATGCGGCCGTCCTTTGGTTTCTCCTGTCCGTTTTTGCTCTTCTTGATTTTGGTGCCTCCGAATAAGTTGGTAAAGAAACTCATAATTGGTGTAGACAGGCGGTTGTTTTTACACTGCCATTGATTGCCAAAACGATAGGAGGCCGCTGTGTGTGTGTGTGTAAGACCGAGATAAGATTATGGCAGGTATTAGATAAAAGATTATTATTGTTTAGATTATTAATTAGGAATCGTGAAGTCAATGAAGTTTCACCTCTCGATTAGAGTTTCACTTCCCGGCGACATCGATAGAGGAACAAATTACAGAAGTTGACAAGCAAATTATATCTAGATTAGCATTGATGTATCATGTATTGAAAAGTCGTTTAAAATTCCGTCGTTTTGAGCTGTCTCGTTAAAGATCGATGGCGGTTTTAATTAATGTTTTGACTGGGAATTGAGTAACTCAAAACTAAAAAAAAAATAAAAAATTAGTACATTTTGACGTATAAAACAATTGCATAACACTTTCGGTAAGTCCAAACAGGAAATGTTCTTCACCTTTATTCGGAAGCTCTGATAGTTTTGGAGATAAAAATTTTGATTTAACATTCTCTTATTTAAAAAAATTAACCAAAAAATTGGACTTTGTAGTCGTTTTCCACAAAAATGCAAACCCCCTAAAAGTCGTATTACATTTCAAACCGTATACCACAAAAAAAAAATAGAATAGGCGGCAGTAACAAGAACAGTATGGCTTCCCCACGGGTTGAAATCAGTTTGCCTTTTAAATTGAAATCGCCAATATCTCAAATAGTATTGCGGATACATGAAGATGCTTTATTATAATAATTATTCTAAATTGAACACAGAAAAATAAAAATGGGACTTAAGCGAAAGTAATTATTTCTTTTTACTGTTATGAAATGGTTTTTTATAAAAATCTGTTAATTTTTTGGTGAAAATGTTTTTTCCTTATTTAAATTAACTGAGTTAAAATATTGAAATTTTTGAATTCTATTATCGCCAAAACTATCGAAAAGAGATACCTACTTGGATTTGCCCGTACAATACAAAAATTGAAAAATATACAGGGTTGTTCCCAAAAAAAAAGAAAAGAAAGTTGGGCCCAGTGCCTCAAAATGGGATTGCTATTCAATTGTTTATGTTTCATGTAGCTACCTACTAAACCAGTCGTTGATACGGCTGTGCGTGGCATTTATTTTGATAGAAATAGTATGACCGTTGTTGAATGACTGGTTCGTGGCAGGTAATCGCCTACGCGAACAATGTGCCTGCCTCTATCCTTATATGCGAAAATGTCACCATACTTTTGTATAACATCTTTAAATTTCAAATTTGTTCAATTTTTATTTTCGACAGAGTTTGGCCTTGGCTAGTAACTTCGTTGACACCCGGTAGATCGCTCGAGAAGCGAAAGAAAGTCTAATTTTATTTTATTTCAGAATACAATTCTTCCGCAAGCGGTGACGTTTTGGGAAAAGGCCTTATTCGTACGGAAAACGGAAAATATAATAAGACTAACGAGGTATGTTAAACGTATACTAATAAATTGCGTTTAATTATCTTCCATGCACGAGAAACGGTAGAAATTTCGATCCGTATTAGGGAAACGTTTTGTTTGAAAATAAGAAAATTCAAAACGATTTCTATTTCTTCTTTTCTTCGATGGCTAGACGATGGTGTGGGAATAATTCCCAAACATGCTTTTTGTTTCGCGCCGTTACGCTTATAAAATTTTTATTTTAAGTATCAGCCGGAAGTTGGCGTTCCGTGCGAATTTCATTTAATGCGAGATTTCCCGCGCAATCGCGTGATTTATAGGAAATGATTGGCTTTTCGAAAAAGCCATTTTAATTCGAATATTGGCTTTTATAATAACCTTGCGCTGGATAATACGGACGTTTTATGCATAGACTGGATGATTCCAGCTTTGATTGTGGATCTACAATTAAATTGGAAATCGCGTTTACAGTTAAATGCGTGCAAAATGGAAAACGAATTTCTATATGATTATTCTCGCCCGAATAAACCGATTCCTCGGTTTGCCTTGAATATAATTTTTTTGCGCGCGCAAGTCTGGCCTTCGAATGACCACGGTGAATCGTGAGCAAGGTGTTTGGTTTCACAAAGATGGTTGTCCGAAATGAATTAGTAGCTAGCGTAGATAAAATCGGTTCTATAAATAGGCGATTCATTGGAACGCACCTAACAAATTTGAAAAATATATGGAAGCGGGGTCACCAGACACCAAGACAACCTTTTTTGGTCTGTGTTTAACTTTTTTTAATGGTATTAATACTTATAATACTGATGGTGGATTCTACACGTTAAACGTTTATATAAAAATATGGCCGAACAGGTCCGTACCTTGCTTAGAATTTAATTATTTGGGGTTTTGTTAAGAAAGACACAAAAGAATATTTATTTATGTATGTATTTATGTTTAAATTTAAAACTTGCGTTTTGTCAATTTTTTAAAATCTAAAACCCATGTGTTGAATACACTTCCATAAGGTAGTTCTGCCACATTTATACTAGACCCGCACATATTTTGCATAATTCGCACACGATTCAACACACGCTGTATTATACACGAAATAAGAATGATTACTAATAAACTTAAACTAAGTAGTATACCAAACCAAAGAATATTAAACACAGGTAGGTATAAAATTATTTTCTATTATGGACCACAATTTTACTTGAATTTAAATTGCGAAACTTTAGGTAATAATCTTGTTGCATTGTATGGTGATGACCACCCTTGGATAATCCCATTCAAAAGCAATTATTATTTATTTATTATCCTGTTATGGTCTGTGTTTAAATTTTTTATTAATTACAATATTATTAGCTGCATATACCGGATGATTGATGGTAGACGTTACACGTTTAGGGTGAACTCTGCCCAATTTAAATATTTTTTCTATTACCTCCGTAAAACACCTGATTACATACCGCTCTAGCGTGCGGGAAGCGTCACTTTACCACGTCAGTTTCGTTTCTCACCTATCCGAGTCATTTCGGACATTTCCGGGATTTTACCGCACCGATGTGGGAGCAATCGGATGTTTTCGGAGATATTTTCCACGCTTTGAATTTTGATGTTTGTCAATTGTGACGGTCATGTCAGTGAAGCTGTTCGTATTGTTTTGCGAAAATATATATATATATACAGACCGCCTCCATATACAGACCGCCTCTGTATACGGACCGTCTTCGTATACGGACCGTCTTTGTATATGGACCGTCTTCATAGAGGGAACACTTTCATAAATAGATTGTTTTCACAAAGAAATTATATTTTTATATAAACAATCAATTTATCATTTTTTTTTAAATACTCGCTCTACTGCGCTCCGGTCGTGATTAAACTGTTTGAAATAATATTTTTATATTTAATTAATTTATATTTAATGAAATTAAATAAAATTGAAAATGAGATGTAAATAGATATATCCGTAAATTAAATATATTTTAACCATATGTTTTTTGATATGTCGATTGTTGAACATAAGATTTTTATGTTGAATGTAATAATTTGTTTTGGTAAAAGAAAATTAAAATTGAAATAAAAATTTTTTGGTACTAATGAGTTTTAAATACATATTTTTGAGTTTATTATTATTATATGTTATTAATTTATATTTAAAAAAAAAATAAATAAAATGAAATGTGGCAAAAATTATTTTGTGTTAAAAATGTATATATATATAATATATATATAATACATTATATTATGTTTAACTTTAAAGGAAATTTAATAATATCTTAGGATTATTAAATAATATACACAGTGTCCAATTTGGAAAAACACACAGAAACAATATATATACCATTAGTGTGTGTCACGTCATTAATTTTAAACAACTTTGCATGCCATGGAATAAATTTTTCTGGATAAAGCTTTCTCAAATTAGAATCAAAATTTTAGTGAAAACCGCTGCAGATTAGTAAAGCAAGGTAATAAACAAAAATCATCCGATGAAGAGGGCGGTAAAATTTAATAAAATATAGCCGTATGCTATATTGTATGGTATATACTGAAATTAAGTGTAATAGCTAGTATAATTCTATACACATTTTGGAAGTTTGCTGTGACATTTTGTTCGCTTTTGAAAATTGTTTCGTAAGTAACAAAATGGAGAGTAGTACCCAGTTTTGAAAATCGCCCGAGGTTTGATTTTTCGAATTTTAAATTTAATGTAATTATTTTATATATAAATGCCCAATGAGTACACGATAAAGATTTACTAATGATAATAATAACGTCACATTTATGTTCAAATATAATGTTGTTTTGCCCGTTTTTCGAGATCTTATTGGTGCGTCTCTAATTTGTAACACCCTGTAAAAATTTTTCAGCCTACTAATTGAGAATAGAAGAAAAATGTAGACCCGAAAATTGTATCTTTTCTAATCGTGGCAGATTTTTTCTTAAATTGAGCACTTTTTTTTTTGTTTCAAAACTTGATATACCTTCTTTTTCCAAATATTTTATGGAACATTTCTAATATTCTATGAATTTTTGGAATATGTTTATTGAAAGTGATATTAAAGTAATTTGAAATGATTCTTCACTATGATTAAGGCAAGTGTCCACCAAAACATTCCGTATTTGCAAATTGGAAAAATTCGATCTAATACACGAAAAGTGGAATTAAATGAAAAAATATTGGCAATAGTTATTTGAAAAAAAGTGTTTACAATGACATTCTATTGATTTATACGAATTTTGAATCAAATACATCAAAATCCCACACACTGTATAAAGAAAAAATTACTAGAAAACAGATTTCTGAAATTTTTGTTTGTTTAAATGTTGGAGTACTTTTGTTTTAAATATTATTAGAACACTAAGCACAACATAACAACAATCGCGATTTTTAACCAGAACTAGTCCGCATATCATTTGTATCGGTCTTCTATTTAGTACATAATATTCTATGCCTCCATACCGTAGCCATACTTCGAGCGCATTCATACATTTATTTTCGACGTTTGGCAATCTTCTTCGCCAAACATAAATTTCCTATTACATGCATCTGATTCTCATCTCTGCCATATTAGGCCCAGACTGTCGTGGTTCTCTTATATTCAATGAATTTGCTAGAATGTCGGCGACCACGGGCCGTTCATATATTACAGATTTTTTTTTTGTTTTTATTTCTCTACAGTTTCTTACTACTGTTTTTCGATTTTATTATTATTTTTTAAATCCAGTGAGTAAGTGTTATCAAACTAATACGAAATAAATTGCGTAATAGAAATTATTTTTATTTTTTATTATTTTTAATTCTTGCTCTAACAGAAATCTAACCACAAATACCAAAAAGGACAATGAGTGTGTTATTCCCTCTATAGGTAATAATATTTAAATCAATCTCAATATTTCAATCAAAACCTGATTATGGTGGATGCCACATGGACAAGTTAAATGGAATATTTTGTGGTGGGGGTGTTTCTGTTCGGGTCGGTTAAAATATCAAAATCGTGTTTTGTTTCAGAAAATGTAGCGATTCTCAAGTGTTTGTTAAAAATGGCCAAACTTACTGTATCGACGTGTGTAGCGAAAAAACCATGTGCGGGGAAGTTGAAGTTCCCGACGACCATCTGGACGCGTGTCGAGTATGCAATTCTACCGGTCAGCAATGTAGGATAATGGAAGGATCCACACCTGGCGGTGGCATACCTGATTTCGATTTCGTATTTTATGTTTCCGCTATGCAGACGGAAAGATGTAATAAGTCGCTTACCGTGGCGTACGCTTCACATTGTCAGCAAGAATCTGGTTTAGACAGGTATTTGGTGATAACTGTACTATCGACCTAATTATATTCGGATAAAATTAGTTGGCAGTTTGAGTCGGATGCGAGGGGATATCATAGCGGATTTCGCGCTCCAAACATTTGCCGGAATTCTGTTTTGAATGCGGAATTAACTTTTCGCTCACTGCTTATTGGGCGAGCGTCATAGAGGCGACAGCGAAGTTTTGATTTGATGGTTAATTAAATAAATTAAATTTAACTTTCATCGTTAAAATTCGCGGTTATATGTGTACAGTGCGTTCCTTCATGGTGTGCCACCAGGTGTCGTTTTAAGAAAAAAAAAACTTCATATGTAATAGGTATGTTTTAAACTTTTGAGATACCGAGTTGCAAATTTTTTTTTTTTTAATTTAATTTTCTAATTTTTTCCGCAAATGTGATGATATTAATATACAGAGTGGTCTAAATTATAATGGAGAAACTTTTACAGCGTATTCGACAGATAAAAATAAGTAAGTAAGTTCGATACCTACACTAAATATAAATATAATTTCGTGAAAATTCGAACTTATAGTTCTTATTTATTTTGGAAAAACGATTTTTTCGGAATATTTCAACACCCTGAAACATTTGAGGACATAAATTTATTTGAACTTTTTACTTAGTTTTATCTGCTGATATTCTTCGTTGTAATTCGGACCACTCTGTGTTAAAATGCGAAATTAGTATCACTCTATCTAAAAAATTTAGGGCGTATTTTCGCATGAAGTTTTTTTTCTTAAATCGAGCTCAAATATTATGCCCTTTTGTATTGACAGTTGACTGTTTACATGATGTCCACCAACAACACATACAAACATTGTGTAGCATCTTCTATGTTCTTTGTCTTCCTTTTTTTTAATTAAATAAAAGGTGTTCTGTCACTACAACGCGTCGGTATTCACGTGGATGTTTGGTTTGCAATAAACACTCGCCCGGTTCCAAATGCATTTTTGATTTTCGTTTTTTTTTTTAGGCCGATCGCCGGCCACGCGAATCTGTGTCCAGAGAGTATACGTACGAATCGGCAGGAGATTGAAATACTTTTATCTACGGTCAAACATGAAATCCTCCACGCTTTGGGATTTTCGGTGAGCCTGTTCGCGTTTTATCGCGATAGAGATGGTAACCCTCTGACAGAGCGTAGCCCGGAAACCGGTAAACCTCCATTGAACGAATCGTGAGTGCCTTTCGTTTTTATCCTTGTTCGAAAACCTTTTTGATTCGGAATGTTCGTTTTCTCTCTGTAAAATTTATCTGGTAGTTGGTTGAAACATACGTCTGGGCCGGTGGTCTAAGTAGCAGCTTGGATAGCCGCTTGGTTTTTTTTTTTTGAAAATTTTATTGTAGATTACAAACTTATCAGTGGAGTGATCGAGTAATAAGCACGTACAGGAGACATTGGATGGTTAGAAGCGGTTACATAGCTCGCGATATTCAAATGCTGGTTACTCCCACCGTCGTAAAAGAAACTAGGAACTATTTTAATTGTTCCGAGCTAGAGGGGGCGGAGTTGGAAGATCAAGGCGAAGAGGGAACGGTGCTTACCCATTGGGAGAAGCGCGTTTTCGAGGTTTGCCATGTCACCTGTTTTTTTTTTTCTTTTTTTTCCAATATATTACATTTTTTGTAAATAATGCCATGTGAGGTGTGGTATTGGCAAATACTCTGTTCATACTTCGCTATATAATCTAAAAAGCTCTTCGAATGCAAAAATCCGGTGCCTGAAAAACTAGGCCAATATTAAACTAATATGAATATTAATTGGTGGCCTGAATGGGTAATTTCATTTATGTAGACTTGTTATTGACGCATTGGACCTTGTCTTGGAAAAATCTTTCTCAAAAATTTAATACATCTCGTTTCGAATATGACGCAAAAACGAATAAATTACTTAAACTTTCAGAGTGCAAAAGGAAATATACCGCTTTCCTAAATCCAGCCAACAAAGATGTGTAAAGTTCCACTATTTGGATTCATTCACGTTCAACCTCTGCATTTTTATTTATTTTTGAGTTTATCTGGATATTTACTAAAATGTATCGACACGGGGTTATCTCCCACGCAGAAAACGTCACAGCAAATTTTCACTAGACATGTCACGTTCGCTTGGTAAAATATTATCTTTTTTCATCTCTTGTTCGCAAATTAACACCTTGTGACAGCAGCTCTTAGAGCAAGTAGCGGTAGAAACACACGCTACCCGAGCAAATAACTGGTCCACTATGCATTTTGATCAATTTTTATGGTAATTAAAAGTTTTTTTTAATCTAAACTCGAATTTATTTAATTATAAATAAAAATCACTGAAATCTCGTTTGAAATTTAAAAATATTATTTTTTATTTATTGTGTCGCAATTATAAGAAGTAAAATTAACTTGTTCTTTTTCTCTATAATTTATTATTGTTATTTCAGTGATTTTAGCTTGAATTGAGGTGGCTTTTACTTGATGAAAATCCTTTTATCAAAATAAATAAGAACTGAAAGTTAAGATTTTCACGAAATTATATATTTTGACATGACAATTGTTTCGACCGAAAAATGACAATAAAACCTTAATTAATGTTGATGTGAGAATTGAAGTTTAATAATGGAGAGGTATTTAAATCTAATTGATCGTTAAGCAATACATTTGAATGTCTCATTTTGTTAATCTCCATGGCTTCCAATAAATTTAATTTTCTACTTTTTGTGGCTGTGTGTAAAATATCAAAATTGTCGTCAAAAACGTGTTTTTCTTTGTTTAAGTGTGTAGCATAATCAGAATCTCTACTATTGTTTTTAAACGCTCTTTTATGTTCGTTGATGCGTTTTTTGAAGGATCTACCTGTTTGTCATTTCAACCTGTAGACACCTGATTTTTAAGATTTTCCTATTGTGTTGTTAGTTGTGAAAGCTATTGTTAAACCACATTTTGGCAAATGTTTTGAAACTTTTCATTGGGTTCTCCTATGTATGTAATTGTTTTAAATTGTTCGTGTTCTGTATTAGGTTTCGGATAAATAGAGTTTACTGTTGTCTGTATTTGTTTTTTATATAAAAGATCGTTTAAAAACAATAGTCTAGATTTTTGACGACAATTTTGATATTTTACACACAGCCACAAAAAGTAGAAAATCAAATTTATCGGAAGCCATGGAGATTAACAAAATGAGACATTCAAATGTATTGCTTAACGATCAATTAGATTTAAAAACCTCTCCTTTATTGAACTTAAATTCTCACAACAACATTAATTAAGGTTTTATGGTCATGTTTTGGTATATATAGTAGCAGGTAGTTTGTAAATATTACACTCGATAAAGACACGGTGTTGTCTAAAGAATTGTCATGTCAAAATATTTAATTTCGTGAAAATCTGAACTTTTAGTTTGTATTTATTTTGTTTTTAGTTTGTTTAAATATGCCGGAGACTATTATTCCCATAATTTTAAATATCGTATTTATCTTCTTTTTTTAAGAACGAAGCTATGACTGGAACTCACACTCAAAACCCGATCATATCGCGTATTACTCTTGCCCTAATGGAAGATACTGGGTGGTACATCGCGAATTACTCAATGGCTGGTGAAATGTCGTGGGGGAGGAACTTGGGATGCGACTTTGCTACGAAAAGTTGCAAAGAGTGGATGTACATGAAATCGTCAAGGTTGTTATCCACCGACCTTTGTACGGAAGTCGGAATCCAAATTTTAACTTTTTAGGGGATTCTCGATTCACCCCTTCTGCAACAAAGTCAAACGCGATCCTTTACAAACGGAATGCACCGACGATAGATTATCTGTTGCTTTATGCAATCTCGTTAAGCACGAACAGGAACTGCCTCAAATTTATCAGAATTTCGATTATTTGTCCAACGTCGAAACCGGCAACGAGGGCTTCTATGGGGGGTCCGTTTCTTTGGCGGATTATTGTCCTTACATTCAAGAGTTTACCTGGAAATCGAACGATATTATCGTAAGGGGTTCGCACTGTCAATACAAGGAAAATAACCCTAGTATAAATGTCCACTTGGACCAAGTACGTTTTCAAATAACATTTGTGTATTTTAGAGGCGGATAAAAATTTCGCCCTGGAAAAATATGCGAAGAACTCCAAGTGTTTCGAGCACACCAATCACATGTGGGAGGAAAAGTCCTGCGGACAGATACGCCAGTGGAGGCACTGGGGGTCCGGATGTTACGCTTACAGGTGCCAAAACGGCAGATTGCACATATTGGTTAGTTGGTTAGCGTTCTCATCCGTTTAGAATACGATTTTCTCAAGGAAAATAGGAAATATCGGGGCGGTGCTGTTTTTTTTTTTTGCAGGTGGGCAATTATTCCTACGAGTGTTACCACGCGAATCAAGAGATTTCCATCAGGATAGTCAACAACGGTTGGCTGCACAGGGGCGGGATCGTGTGTCCCCCCTGTAAGGAGATTTGTGCCGTGAGTATTATTGCAGACGATCGTATTAACCGGTCAACACAAATGATGTTTATATGTGGTCGTTGAATTTGCAGAAAGAGTTCGAAAGTCGTGGGGAATATTGCAAAAAGGGCGACGAGGCGCCCCCCTCAATATTTTATCCCCGGGACGATCTTCGCTGCGACTCTGACGTTTCCAAAGCGCGATATTTAGTGATAATCCTCTTGGTATTTTTGCGTAATTTGTTTTAGACGAAATCGACTCGATGAGCGTTCGCCGTCTGTCAAGACTGATGTTTTAATTAGTGTTTATTATGGATTTCAGGGCGAACCGCTCGGTATTGACGTTTTAAATACTTGCACCCTGTCATACGGGGTGTCCGAAAAACATTCCCGGTGAGCTTGGCAGGATATTTGTTTGTCACGGCAACTGCTGCAAATGCATTCCTGCGTTTAAATTAATTTTATTTTTCTTATCGTCGTGCCAATCGGTGTCGATCGGCGGTTTCGAAATGTTACAAATTAGATATAACAGCGTAAAAGGTGAGATTAGACTGTCAATTGAAAGTATTATTTAGAAATCCATCATTCTGGTGTGGACGCGAACGTGAGAATGGGAATTCTTATTGAAAAGCCTTTTTTTGGGCCTAGCCATTTTAGAATATTTTTTTGTCTTGTATATATGTAATTGTTTTAAATGAATATAAATTTGAATAAACTTGCGTTTTATTGCGGGAACTGTCGTCCCATTAATCCGCGTAGTAATATAAAATTAATCGATCGTTTTGTAAAGTTTATTTATAAATAATATGTAATTTCCAATGAAACATATAAAATTACTCAATCGCTAATAACATTGAGTACGTGGTGCTACATAATTAACTATATGTTACCTGCGCGTGTGTGAAAAATCGTATACGTGGACATCTAGGAAATGTCAAAATATCGCCAAGCAAAATGGTGAATAAATATGTGTTACAAATAAGAATCGATATTTCGATAGACAATTTTGATTGACGAACTTGTTCTGCCTATGTTTTACAACTAGATAACGTAAAACTTTTTATTAATCACTAAAGTTTTCAAACCTCATGCGCGTAATAAATAGATTATTTTCTACGATACATAATTAAAATATGAAGCTTAGTGAGCGACAATATTCAAATATGTCACAGTGGCATAATCTAACATTTTTATTTCTAATAATATTGCCTTTTTAATAAAATACTTAAATAAGCCAGAAAACCGCAATAGTTACAAACATCGCTGACAGGGATCCAATTCGAAAGGTTACTCCTGCAAAAAAATAGTTTATTATAGCATGTAATAGTAAAAAACGGAAATTTGAAAACTAACGTTAAAGTACACAGAATTTCCCCAACTTAATGCCCTATTCGAAAAATGTGGAGAATGGACAAAGATTTATGTAAAAACTGGATTGCGGTCATAGGAGGCTGTGATCTCTAATTTATTTTTAATGGAATGTTATCCTTATATTATTATATTTTTAGATTCTATGAAACATTCATATGTTATATGTAGCCACTTTAAACTTAAAAATTATTTTTGAGAAATTTTCAATCTTCTTGTTCCATTCTTCACTAATAGAACTGAGGTGACTTTTACTTGATGAAAATCGATTTATTAAAATAAATAACAACTAAAAGTTCAGATTTTCACGAAATTATATATTTCTACATGACAATTGTTTCGACAACACCGTGTCTTTATCAAATGTAATATTTACAAACTCCCTTTTGCTATATATACCGAAAAATGACCATAAAACCTTAATTAATGTTGTGAGAATTTAAGTATTTAAATCTACTTGATTGTTAGGCAATAAAATTGAATGTCTCATTTTGTTAATCTCGACGGCTTCCAATAAATTTAATTTTCTACTTTTTGTGGCTGTATGTAAAATATCAAAATTGTCAAAAATGTGTTTTTCTGTGTTTAAGTGTGTAGCATAATTATAATCTAGACTATTGTTTTTAAACGCTCTTTTATGTTCGTTAATGCGTATCTTTAAGGATCTACCTGTTTGTCCAATATAAATTTTAGGACCAGATCCGCCTGATTTTTAAGATTTTGGACATTTCGTTTTATTGATTTTTAAAAATTTTCCTATTGTTCTAAAAGCTAAACCATATTTTGCCAAATGTTTTGAAACTTTTTCACTAGCTTCTCCTATGTATGTATATAATTGTTTTTGTTCTACTCCCGTCTGTAAAATACCTAATTACGCACCGATCTAGCGTGCGGGAAGCGTCGCTTTGCCACGTCAGATTCATTTCCCACCAATCCGAGCCACTTCGGACATTTCCGGGATTTTACCGCACGGGTTTTGGAGCAATCGGATGTTTTCGGAGATATTTCCCACGCTTTGAATTTTGACGGTTGTCAATCCTGACAGTCATGTCAGTCACTTGTTGCATAATATAGTATTAAATGTTCGTATTCTGTATTCTGTAAGGAGTAAAAGAGTGGAATGCAGCCGTTTTGTGTGTATAAGGGTGATTTAAGCTGTTATGTATGACTGTGTCCGTGTGTCAAGGCTTATGATAAATAGAAAAATCTAATTTGTTTTGCGCTTTCGTAATAGTTAAGTCTAAAAATTAATAGAGTTATTCTGTTCAATCTCGATAGTGAATTTTATACGATTATGTAATGAGTTAATGTAATTTAAAAGAATTCAATTGTCTGTCCGTTCCAACAAAGCAAACAAAGACATCATCCACGTATCTATACCACCATAAAAAACTTTTACTTAAAGGATGTTCTAGTATGATATTTTCTTAATTAATTTTAAATTTTAAATTACATTAACTCATTACATATCGTATAAAATTCACTATGGAAATTGAATAGGATAACCCTATTAATTCTTTAGACTTAACTATTATGGAAGCGCAAAACAGATTAGATTTTTAAATTTATCATAAACCTTCCCACACGGACACAGTCATACATAACAGCTCAAATCACCCTTATACATATATATATGCATTTTACTCTTTTATACACAGACTTCTTAATACGCCACTTTCAACAGGAAATTACAACAAAGAACTTAATATCATTAAACAAATTGCACTGAACAAAGGCTACAATCCGTCCATTATAGATAAAATTATAAATAAAAAACAAATCCAGACAACAGTAGACTCTATCCGAAACCTAATACAGAACACGAACAATTTAAAACAATTACATACATAGGAGAACCCAATGAAAAGTTTCAAAACATTTGTCAAAATGTGGTTTAAAAATAGCTTTCGGAATTTTTAAAAAACAATAAAACGAAATGTCCAAAATCTCAAAAATCAGTTGTCTACAGGCTGAAATGCGGATCTTGTCCTAAAATTTATATTGGACAAACAGGCAGATCCTTTAAGAAACGCATTAACGAACATAAAAGAGCGTTTAAAAACAATAGTCTAGATAGTAATTATACACCTAAACACAGAAAAACACATTTTTGACGACAATTTTAATATTATACATACAGCCACAAAAAGTGGAAAATTAAATTTATTGGAAGCCATGGAGATTAACAAAATGGGACATTCAAATGTATTGCTTAATGATCAAATAGATTTAAATACCTGTCCTTTATTTTTGGTATATATAGTAACAGGTAATTTGTAAATATTACATTTGATAAAGACACGGTGTTGTCGAAACAATTGTCATGTCAAAATATATAATTTCGTGAAAATCTGAACTTTTAGTTCTTATTTATTTTGATGTCTCACTAAGTTGAGACTATATGGAAAACTTTTTTATTATTAATTTCATGAAAGTAACTTATTCTTCATAAATAGTGCTGTATGTTCGAAGACTAAAATACATTCGTCATATGCCTTTTTTTTCAGTAGTATACGGAGGTTTGATCGTTGAATTGATAAGAACTAAAAATTACGTTCTAATGTCCATTTAGTGATTTTTGCTCTGAATTTCTAGGTACGAATGAATGTAATGAATGTTTGGTAGCAAATATTTGACACATTTATGACTTCATAGACGTGCTACCCTTAGAAGAACAGCAATGTATTTGGTACCAACAAGCCAGTGCCTCATATTGGGAAATATCTTGAACATATGTTCCATGGAAACGTTATTCAAAGATATTCTGAACTTTTTTGGAATGCGAGATCCTTTAACCTTACCCCCTCTCTTGCATGGAACGGGGGTGGGGGGATAATTTTAGAAAAAAGCCAGGAAATTTCTCCATTAATGATAAGAAATGTATACATGCATGTATTGAACGAGAGAGTAGAGATGTCCAGACATTAATGGCATGATTGAAAATTAATTTATTATTTATTTCTAGAATTGGTTTAAGTTAGTTGTGCAGCTTACTATTTGTATGTATTTTTTATTTGCAAAATAACAGCATATGCATTCATTAACGGCTTTAAATTGCAAAATTTCTGGAAAACATTGAGAAACGAGAAGGTTATCATCGCGACTTTTATAATTACAAGAGATAAATGTTCATTCAAAATATTAAACGAACTGAAAACTCATTTTTGCAATGTTAATGGATTTAATCATCTTAGGAAATAGCTGCTCGGATTTTTTAAAATTCCTAATTAGATTGAAAACCGAGCCAGTCCTCTTACCGTTATTACTTTTTTTAATACGTAAAGAAATAAGCTTTTCAAATGTTAACATATCTATTCATAGATCTTGTACGAAAACTCACGAATGGGGTAAACGAAATTACGAGAGTTGCAGATAGTTGTATAAAATACGTTATCGCTAGAGCAAATTCGGATTTATAAAGGCTGAATATAATTACGTTTGAATTACTGGTGTAAGAAAAGTAGAGCTTTGCCTCGATCAATACTTTTCTTGCAGGTCAACTTGACCATTTCGAATTTCACATTTTATTCGTTTTTTCTAACACGTTTGCGGGATAACGTGCAACAAACACGTTGTAATTTTATCATTTCTTCCTTATGATTATTAAATAATAATAATAAACAATAAGAAACAATCAAATAAACGTTAAATTTAATAAAAGACTTTTATTACTTCTGATCCGGATTTAACAAAACCCGCATAATAGTCTCTAAAATTGTCGATTGGGTGATTAATTCGACTACGTATTTTATGTAACAATCATAAATGAATTCTAGTAATATTCGGTCGGAAAAGGTAATATAAATAGGTAGAATTATTTTTATATTAACTGGGAGTTTTCGGAAGAAACTTTGCTTATCGAGTCGCAATCGCCGAGTAGATTTTTTATTTCATCCTTTATCAGAGAGGATCTGTGCGTTGGAGTAGAAAATTACATTCATTATATAATAATTTGCAATTGAAAATGAAAATATGTCTTTAAATAATCGCGATCACTGAAAACGCAAGCATTTTATGTATTTTATTTTCGAATTCTACGAATTTCCGAACCTTCTACATTGATTGGTCATTGTTACTTTCCAAAGAGTCAATTCAAAATAAAACCTTGGCGTTTGTCATAATCATTAATAATTTCTTGGACGTTTTTGAACTTTGAACTCTCTTTCCGAGGGAGCAAACTGGAGAGGAATTCTGCTGTGCGATATGATGAAATTCCAGAGCAAAATTGAGCAAAGTTCAGAAGAATTCCAGGGAATTATGAGTAATTATTTTTTTAATTTATTTTTATTATTTCATTACAAACATTAAAGAAATTTTGTTTGGTGCTTGCGGATTCGATAGACTACAACTTTAATAAATAAGAGTTGCAGTTAAAATTATATATTACCACACCTTCTATCATGCCGTTTGGACTTGTTTATTTGTACAATATAATTTAAAATTAGATCAAATTAGTTAAATTTTAAGTAGCTCGCGAATTAAATAAACCAAAATCTCTTAGTCCAAGGGTCAAAAGTTGCCTCCAGTCGCGCTGTTTTTGGAAGGTTTACCTCTAGTCTTTTTATCATCTCTTTTGAGAAATATGATGTTAGCATACATTACCTCCACAGGTCGCTCCAAATTCGGTATAACCCTCTTGACATCTGCAAATCATCATATCCGGGGTGAAAACGAACGAGTTTAAGTTCAATTCCTTGACCAAGATACAATCGGCGTTTTCCACACAATCGTCATCTTTAGTGCAAATGTGGTTCGGTCCTGAAAATTTCTTTGTTATTTTTATACCCGCAATTCCTGCCGTAACAACGTTTTTATTTGTATCGTCGCATTTTAAGCCTGGTCAAGCATAAGAAAATTATGTTCGATTTATGCAGAAATATGGTAATTACGCGTAATTTACTTGCGGATATAGTCCTAGTTGGCAGTACATATAGAACGAATTTCCACGCAAATATCTCGAATAAAATATTGTCCACCAGCCAACATGTTAGAATTTAAAATTTTTGGTGCAATTGGAAAGCATAATCGAATCTGAATTTATAAAAATCGTATTTTTTTTTAAATTCCAGGAGTTCTCGTTGGGGTTTATAAACCACAAATGTATCATTTCCATATTCAAAGTGGAAATAATCGATTTTGGGGTCGAAACGTTGACAGAATTGGGCCTCATTTTTGCGCCCTAGAACCTAAATTAACGTCTATCGAGTTCGTTGACTATACTACGTGCATACCTTAATTTTGATTTAGACAAAGAATTGACAATGAACACAATGATATTGGGATGGTGCGAATGCTACTTTTATTTATTTGATTTGAACGATTTATCGAACCTTTCCCTTAGCACCTTTTTTATAAAAATAGTCCTGACTTTTCAATTTTTTCTTCGTTTGAAGGATGTCGAACAATTTACGAACTAATATGGTTTGGAAATTGAGTAAAATTATTTTTATTAAACATTTGCGTTTTATTTCCTACGCACTTTGATTATTTTTTAGCAAACAAAATCATAATATTGCTTAAACAAATTAAAACAATGCTCGTGCTAGTATGACCCCGTATTTACAAATATCATACTGGGTAAAAAACTGCAGTAAGGTGAATTTAAGCTTACCCTGAAATTTGGCCATGCAATGACCGTTGATTGGAAATTGATCGTCACCACATCGGCAATAACCCTTCATGCAGGTAGCATCCTTTATGAGGGTGCAGTTGGCCTGTATTGTGCATTGTTTCTGGGTGGCTAACGCAAAAACAGGATGTTTTAAGAAGATAATTTTAATCGAGAATCTTTTTTGTAAATTGATTTTAGTTTTTCGAGCTATAGAAAAAAAAATAGTGAACGCGTGATTAATACCTGTGGTTTGCGGTTGATTATTTTGGGGGTTGTTATTCGACTTCCCAAACGTGGTCAGTCCGTGGGCGTGATTAAATCCCGCGAGCACCAACAACAACGGTATAATAGACACTGTCACATATATAGCGTTCATCTTGTGGGATTGGTGATCGGACGGACGTTCGAATAAGTTGACTTCACCAACAATCACAGCCGTAGTCAAATAGGGTGTTTTAAAACGCTTAATCTTTCTTAAGTCTACGCTTGCGCTCCAACAAGTCATGCACACGTGAAAATGAGTATGTGTGTGAGTGTGCTACTGGGTAACGTAGAATTACTTCTTAGGGATGGATCTTATAGCCGATAAGACGCTTTGTGGCCATTGCGGCGCCTGTAGGCGTTTAATCCGGACGGTTTAGAAAACGTTAGCCTCTAAGTTGCTTTCGAAACAAAGCAAAACCCCTTCGTACGGAAATTTCGTCAGAAAGAAGCTTCTTGACATTCACCATTTCAACTAATAAAAAGGTCTTCTGCGGCTTTCAAAAAACAAACTGCATTGTTTTCGCACTAATTAAGGCGCTGACAATGGATGTTAAGAAAAGAGGAATATCTTCGAAGCGAACTCTTTGATTATAAAATTTTCGAATGTTTGTTATTGTTTGCTTATTAGAGCAAATCTTTTTTCATTCGAATACATCTGAAACATTAATTTGTAAGTTGGAATATAAATTGAAGTCGAAATTCAATTCGTTTCCCAATTTTTCCTTGACTCGCAACAAAATTCCTTGGTATGTTTAAATCCTATGACGGACATTTATTTTAATAGATATAAATTCAGTACTAATTACTTTGAAACGCGACTATAATGACTCCAGGCATTAATGGTAACATCACTTCAAAAAAAAATCACTGTCAAAACTAAAACAAAAGAAGTAGCAATGAGACTATAGACAATCAGCAGATTTTTTGGCTAGAATGATAGTGATGATTTGATAAATTGTAAAACACTCGGGGTATTTGATGATAAAAAACGTGCACATTTTGCATCCATTAACAGTCGAAATAGAGAATTATATTTTTTAATATTTTTAAATCCATTCAAAAACTCTACAAAAAAGTACAGATGAACTTGGCAACTATTATTATTATTAAATTTCTAAACGAGTGTTGCAAATGATGTTCCATCTGCACATCTGCTGACCTCTCATCTAAGATAAGCATGTTCCCATTTATACGCTGATGATACTCAAATGTACCTTTCGTTTGGTTCAGAGGACATCCGTGAGGCAAACGACTGATTACATAGTGATCTGAATGGCTTGCTTACGGCTTCTGAAAACCACTGTTTGACCATTAACCAGAGACATTGGTCGGTTCAACATGGAGAAAAGTCTATATTATCATAATATATATATTATAAAAGATGCCCTGAATCTATTTGATGAAATTAAATTTTGATATGATGCTCATAACTTCGCCTTCATAAGAAACCACTCTTTATGAAATGGTTTTCGTTCAAGAAGGCTGCTCGTATATGGGTGAGCAGTCGAACTGTAATGTCTGTACATGAATTGCCTTGAGTGCATGCAAGTCTTTTTTTACTTTGTTTATATAAATATCTTGCAAGTAATAGGCACATGTTTGAAATGGACTTCTTCTTCCTTTGTATTGCTTGCTTTTAGTTGTATATTGTGCCGGCTTAACTAATAGCTAACAATATGTTCTTATGAGGCATTACAATTTTTTTTTAAACCATCCAGAACTATTTTATTGAGCAAATTTGGTAAACTCTGATAGTGTCTGCCTCTCATGTGACCAAAAATGTGTATGTATATAAAGAAGTGATAGTCATTATTTAAACGGTGTTTATAATCGCATTCATTCCTTGTTGGCGTTAAATAGATTTTCAGTTGCATGTCCGATACTACTAATACTATTAAATTGGTTGCAGGATATGTGGAATTTCATACGTGTTAAAATTGATTACACATCCGTATAAGTTTCGTGATTTCAGGAATTAATTGTTCGGTTTTTCGCGTATCTTGACCGGACTATAACCGGCAGTCACGCGAACCATTGCGTCACATCAAACCCGCAAGAAGGTGGTTGGCTAGCTCCAGACGTAATCTACAAAGGACTCCACCACTACCATCACCCCCTCCGCCCCTCCTTTTTTCTGTGCTAAATTTATCCGCGAGTTAAAGTTCTAAATGTCAATCTTGGGAGCTTTGTCTAACGGGGCGCCACAAATGGCTGACTACGTGACCTTTAACATTGTCTTATCGTACCAATTTTTGACCCGATTAGAATTTTGTTTGCACATTATTTTTTTTTTCGCAACTTTCTGTGGATATTGAGCGTTCCTTCCCACCCTTTGATGGAATAAATTAAAGAAATAAAAGATATCGATTAAACATTTTATGTATATGAATAAGGTGTGGGTTAAGGTGAGTGATGATTTTTCTTTGCTAAAAATAGCGAGTCTGGAATATCGGGAGAAAATCGGTATTCACGCTAAAAATGGAAAGGTTACACGTTTTTTTTTAGAATTTATTCTCAATATCATTATTAAGGTACATTATTTTAATACATAGAATGTGTTTTATTTTATCACAAAAATAGATCAGTCTATTGTATCAATGTGGTTTTAGTTTTTATTTTTGGTATTCGGTTTGTTAGCCTACGTCGATTTTTTTCAAAACTAAACCTACAATTGTTGCTTAAATTATATTAGAATACTTCTATATAATACTTAGACAAAACGTTGTAAAAAATCGTTAGAAAACAAAATACAAAATGTATATATACAAAATAAACTGATTAAAGCATGACGAAAGGATGGATTTAATCGTGACTGCGATAATTATAGCAAAAGAGATCAGACAGAAATAGCGCGAAATTAAATAATAAAAAAGCGACAGATGGATTATGTTTTCCCATTAGCGTCCACTTGGATATGTTTTTTAATTTTGTCGATAAGCGTTTATAATTCGTATCGTGCATAGTCATACAAAAATAAAAATTTCAGCCATTTGAATATCGGTCTAGTTAACCTTTACAAATGTAACCACAAATTTTCTAAACGATGATAAATTCACGACAAGCATGCAACAACAATTCTCTTTATCTTGATAAGGGTGATAAACCCATCGCCTTAAATTTAGGTCAAGAAATATCCTTATACAATACACATTTAAACGGAATGAACATTTTGCTGCCTATTTAAATCGTTGAGTTTAGGAATATATATTAGTTTATATTTATCGTTTCTTACTACTTGGGGACAGTTCCTACGTTAGTGCGGCAATGCGATTAACGTAAGAAATTCGTTTTTCGGAAAACAAATTTCAGCTAATTAAATTTATCCTTCCCAAGTGGTAAGCAGAAATACACTCACATATTTTTTGTAGCGCGTAAAGTCTAGTTTTCCATCTCCTCTTTTCTCTTTATCTTCAGTAAATTGCCATGTTGTTTGCAATTTAACTATACTCTTTAAGATCTAAGGTTTCTGAAATAAAAAAATGTAACTTATGAGCATTGGTCGCACGCTGTTATACGCTTGGAGAGTTTTACAAAAATGGTGGTATCGAAAACGGAAGCTGAAAAGGGCCATGCAAGTGATACATTAGTTTTTCGAATTAAATTTCAAATTTGGACGGAAGAAAGCCGCACGCGGACATGCGAAACGAATGAAAATGGCTGTTGGCCATTTTCGTTTATAAATTTTACGACACGTGATTGTGATTGTTATTAGGAACCGGAAATGCGGGAGGGTTAATCAACACAGAGGTGGGGGTGCCCCCACCTGTGGTTGTAGTCGTAGGGAGACTACTCGTGGATCTTCGCCTCCGCAGAAAGCAACAGCCCAATCCGCAGGTTCCTCTTTCAAAGTACCTTTGCAGGACGTATATGTAGGGGTCTAACGTGAAATACACCGATAACATGATATCTGCCAGAATATTGATCGGTGACGATTTCGGAATGGCACTGAATTGCGCTATCGGTACTGTGATCTGGAAAACAAAATTTCGTTGAAAACAAAATCTTAACTACGCGGGACAAATAACGTAAACATGGAAATTTTGACTAGCGTTAGATACAAGATGCGCTAGTGCGAGGTAACAAGACAAGTCCAATAAAATACAAATTTCTTGTCTAGAAATGACGAAGATTCAACTTACGACTTGGGGGCCCCAGCATACCAAAAACATGACACAAATATAAGCCATGAGTTTGGCAAAAGCGACTTCTTCAGGTGTCTGATGGTGTCTCGGACATGAAGCTGTGCGATTATTTACTATCAGGGATCTGCTTATTCTTCTAACCAGTATGTGGTTTTGCGTTCTGATCTTTGACAACTCGCACACCACTGCTATATTACAGAGTGCTATACTTATGCATAACGTGGATCCTAAAACAAAAAGTCGAATATTATCTAAGAAAAAACAATTACATTTTACATTTTCCGAAGGTTTTGAAGTGAAATAAGACCAATGTCATTGTTTTTAGAGAAACCTCAATTCCCCTCAATTTATAACTTGAGTGAAAAACGTTCTTTTTCATGAACCACCCGCGAAAACAATTTAGGAATTCGTTTAGTTATAACTTAAAGAAGTTCGATTATATCTCTGGGAGTTTCGCTGGCAGTAACTTTATTAATCAACAATACGTTTAACCAGCTACCGGCCAGTATTGGGAAACTTAAGAGAAATTAATTGTCATGTTAAAACCAAATTATCTAATATGGATTCATTTATGTAAGCCTGTTTTTTTACTACTACTTCAATTATACAGGGTGTTTCATACAAAGATGCTGATCCATAAGGGTGCGATTCCTTGGGCGATTTTAAGAAAAAAAAGTGTATTTTAATCAAGGTCCTCAAGAGATCATTAAAATATTATATTATGCAACAAGTGCGGTAAACGCCATTTGACTCACGAATTTATTTGACACGAGCGGAGCGCAGGGGAGCGAGTTTTTAATAAACGAGTGTGTTAAAAAGTTTACCGGACGTGTTGTATACTATACTTTTTCCTACGACCGTTAGTTTTTGGGTACATTTTCGCAAAACAACACGAATACATTCACTGACATTACCGTCAGAATTGACAAACGTCAAAATTCAATCCGATCGCTCCCAAGTCCGTGCGGTAAAATCCCGGAAATGTCCGAAATGACTCGGGTTCGTGGGAAACGAAACTGATGTGGTATAGTGACGCTTCCCTCACGCTAGATCGGTGGATAATTAGGTATTTTACAGACGGGAGTAGAGAAATGTAATTTATTTTTGAAAAAAGCAATGGCGTATCACTTTTAATAAAATTTTAACAATAACTTTCACCCGAGAAAAAGTGTTTCTATGCCCTATGAAATTTCAAACAAAATATCTAAAGCAGTTTCAATGAAAACGAGGAAAACCTGTATTTTTAAAAAAATCAGTAAAGCCATTGGGGAACTGCATTGATAGTAAACTTTTTGTTCTTAAAATCAACCTCTAAAAATCAGCATCAGCATTATGAACCTTCCTATATAGTCAGCGAAGTGGGTATGACAGCTAGGTTGAACATAATCACTTCATAATATAAGCTTGTTTTATTCTATTTGGTATAATAAAGATATAATAAAATTGCAGGATGAACCACTTAAAGTTTCCAAATATTTTAGATACTTCTCTCATAATCGATGTATTCACATTGGGACACCCTCGTCAATCAATATTTTAGAAAATAAATACCAACTTTCGTCGTTTCCATACTATCATATATCAGTTTTTTTGTAATTATTGTTATAAACACTGCGCGGTGCAGTGATTTGGTTTTAAAATGGAGATAATGAGGTCAAAGGGTGTTTGAAACATTCGTTACTGTGTAAAATTTTTCAGAGCAGTTAAAACTTTTTTTACTTACCGACAAAAAAGAAAAAATAAGCATATATTTTGTCTTTCACCAGGGATGCGTATCTAAATCTGGCGCATTTTCCGTTCTCAAAATAGAGCCCAAAACCAAATAAGGGAAGGCAAGTCAAGAACAAAGCGCCGAACCATAAGCAACAAAGAGTACGCTTTACAACTTCGTAGGTCACCACCTAAAAAAGACCAATAATAAACCAGTTTTATTGCCTCGGTTGGTCCATTTGACGGAAATTTATTTACATTTACGCAAAATGGTTCTCGGACATGTACATTTTCGTCACTGATTACCAAAAATTCTGTTTTTGCTGTTTGTTAAGGATGTCGTCAATTACTTCTCATAGTAAATTACGCTCACGAGACGTGCATTTACAAGCGTGATGAATTAAAAACTATTTTTTTCATTCAACGCGAGTAAAAGAGAAAGAAAGAGCGTGATGAGAGGCAAACTGTAAAGCAAGGATTCAAAAACGTAGAGAATGTAAGAGAAACAAGCTTATTGAAACGCGTCTCGCGTTTTTGGCTTATTTTAATAGGTAAGCGATCAATAAAAACGACTTCCGCTATAAATCTATGGTCCTTGAGAAATTATTCTGTCGTCGTGAATAAAATGAATTTCGCTTACTTACACGCTCAGTTCTTATTTTCGCCAGAAGAGTTCTCTAAATGCTATTGTATTATTTATAACGCGCCATTTTGCGGTTTTATGTTTTTATTGATCGGAAATCAATTAATGAATGAGCGGTGACGCATATATCAAGAGACTAAGCTTTACCGTCGCAAAAGTTTTACTAGGAACGCCTTTGCCGTAAGCGGACGCATTTTATAACAAAAATAACAAATCAGTATTCTAAGAGCAACGAAATGTTAATGCCGACATAGCGAAAACACCCTGTACGTATTAAACAAAAGATACCGAACTTTTATCGTATGATATTGCGGATTTAACGAGTATCTAATATACTTAAGTTTAATTGCGTGTTTGTTTATTAGCCGCTTCTTTAAATGGAAAATCGATATACGAACCAATCGCAATTGACTTTTTCGTTCGAAATTTGCAAACGTGCGAAGAAATTTATCATTGTTTTGTTACTAATTGATAATAATAATGTACGGATAGAGTATAGGATAGAATAAATTGACTGTAAGGTTTTATTGGATGAAAAACGGCGCATAAAATAAATTTGGGATGTGACGATGTGACGAGCTTATTATGAGAGGGAAATCGATTGAAAATTATTTCTGTTTTGTTTACGTCGAATGATTAATTGGTTTGTGACGCATGTCAACTAACCACCACTACATGCTCTGGAATAAAAGTTTTTTTTTAAGAAATTCGTTTCTGCCAATGTTCTGCGTCGATGGTTCGAAAAATTTTACTTGAAAACGGCAAAATGTGGAACTCTAGAAAACAAGTTTAATATTGTCGCCTTAAATCGTTGATATTTAAAAGTCGTTAGTTAATCTTAATTAACTCACTTAAATATTTGAGGAATTCTTAAAGATATCGTGCGTGGGTCAAACAAAATTATTGGGATAATGTTATATTCATATTAAATTTTAATTTTAAGGTATGCTTTATGCACAGGGTTTCCCGATTTCGTCTTATCTGGGGTATATCACTAATTTTCGAAGGACGCCGTCTTCATATTATTATCATAGTTTTTGGAGTAGATAACCAAAGATGCAGCAAACAAAATTTTCCATTTGGTTTTGCAAGAGAACTGCTACTTTTAAAATGTCGAAATTGCATAGTTCAGTGGCGTAGGTAATTTAAATACGAACATTTATATACATTTTGTTTGCGGCATATTTGAATCATTAATACAGTCGTGTGAAATGATATAGAAAGATGCAGGGTATGACAACTTTCATGAACTATGCCGACAAATGTTTACGTTACCCTTAAAAGTTGTTTGAGGTACACTTTTACGAAAAACAAAAGCAATTATTTTACATTTACTTTTGCCAATTCTGAAGACTATGAAAGGTAAGATTGTTGATTAAAAGATACTTCATCTCGAATAAAACGATATACCTTCAGTTGATGCAAATTGGCATTGTATGTCATTTTACCTTGATATATTTTTCATATTAACTTATCTTTTCCTCGTAAATTCTGACTCATTTTAAGAACATGAATATGCTCCAGGACGACTTCTTTTCACGCCTTAACTGTTCAGAAATGTTTCATTTTCAAAAAGTAATACATTGTGAGTGAGCCGAAAAACAAAAATGTTTATTTGCGCTAAATAAATAACAATTTATATCGATATATAACATTTCAAAATTTAGATGAGTTAAATTTTATTCTGGCAAGTTAAATTTTTGATTTTTTGAGCTACGTATATCAATTTTTTGCAATGTATTTAATTTACGCTTGCTTAAAATGACATAGTATCCATTTTTTTCAAAAGCCATTAAATCCAATTAGGTGTTAAAACAGCACTTATTTCTGTATAAAAACCTATTTCACAACTTACAAGCTAATATAACTCTCAAGCTTGGTTCGGAGCAACGAAAATGCGAATAGTATGTCACTTTAGGCACACCTCTGCAATACAAAATAAACGATTAGGTGCGTACCTTGTGATACAGAAACGGTCTGGTAAGCGCTAGCCATCGTTCCAATGCCATAATAAATGCTACACATCCCGAGCCTAAACCGAAAGCACGAAGCACCACAAAAGAAACGCAAGACCAAAACTCGGGAATGACGCTGTACCTCTTCAAATAATTAGCGGTTAGCATTCCAACAACAGCCACCAGATCATTTGTCGATAACCACCTCAGCATGAGTACGTGTTTTCTGTTTCTTGTTCTGGCAGATTTGTACAAGATCCACAACGCGGCTATGTTTCCGGTGATACCGATCAAGAACGAAATCGTAGTCAAAATTTGTGAAACGAGTCCGTAAGGATGGTGGGTTCCGTGTGTCGAATGCTCGTGCATGTTTGAATGTTGTATTCACAAATCGTGCATGACTAGAAATTTTCAATTTTTATCACTGTTCGTCAATAAACAACTTCGACCGTTTGTGACTTCATTGTCGCAGCCCGAATAATCAACTGCTAAAGCTGCGACCGAGTCCTGAGAATGCTCCCGAATCTTCCGTTGATCTACAATAGACAACATGTAATGAGTTTTGTTGGTTTTTTTGGGGTCAATATTCTAGTGATTAGAGGGCCTTCGTTATCTTATTATACCTCCAGTGATATCGATTGTTTACTTTTAAAAATTTTTGGAAATAAACATTACGGTTCGTTTCTCGTCTTGGGCGTATTTTCTCGTCAGCGCTGTGACGGTAACAATTTTCAGTATTTATTGGGCGATTATTTTTTGCAAAATCCGATTACTTCTTTATGTCCCTGTAAAAACGTCGACAGAAGCTTATTTATAAAGTGCGCTAGAAACGTCAACGTGGTGACGATTATTTTGACGTTCTGTCGAGAATAAGGAAGCGTTAAATATAGAAAATTCAGTCAAAATAAGAATTATGGAGTTTTTTTTCATTTCGTGCGTAATAATGGTAATTCATGGAGCCAGTGGAAAATAAACCAACATGGTTTCCGGCACAAATTCATCTCTAATTAGTATTTCGCGATATTTGTGCACAATAGGAGTCTAATGAAGACCTCCTACGATTTTCTTCGAGAAAACCTACAAAATAAGACGCGCGTAATTGAAAATATTTCAAAAGGCGTTGTTATTATTAAACACGTTTATTTTAAAACAGTTTTATTTCTAGCTCGTATTATTTAATAGCTTCCTCCGAATAAACTGTTTTCCGTTGTATTTTGATACTTTTTTTGATATCCGATATCATTGTGTGAGTAAAATATTCATGCTGGTATTTATATCTCGTTTTAATTTTCGATTGCGATTTCGACGTTTTTCACTTTTAAATAATCTTTAATCGGAACGTGCAATATTTGAGGAAAATCGTCTACATCTGCGTATCCATTAGTACTGCTTAATCTATGTTCATTTTTCTAATGTTTATCGTTTCCTGTCGAATATCGTATAGTATCAAATTTCTTGACCGCGGATCGCTATCTACGTACGAATGGTGCGATAAATGTCAAATAGAAATATTTTTTGAATTTTTATTAGGGACGCGAATATCAAAATGTTGACACATCAATCGCTCTGACGTATCCAGTTGTTTTGACGGTGTCGTTTTTACGTCATTACACTTATAAAAAAAATGAAAAACACCCTTCGTGTTTTAATGCGACGCCATACAATTTATTATATTAATAGCGTTTGCAGTTTGTATTTTTAGAAAATTTTTCAGACATTCACAATAAATTGATAGAAACATTTTTTCCTGTGCCAACAAACGAACGTTCAATGCCGAACCGACCTTACGGAATATTTTGTAGACTGTGACTTCGCCAACGCCTCGTATAATAAAAACGATTTTAATAAACAGACGTTCGGGGCTTTTAAAATATGGACGGACGATTGTAGATCATTTAAATCGATTATGGTACTTAAAATACACATTTGTTTATTGTAAGCGATAACCTATTATATTTTTATAAGGGAAGCTTCGCCGTTTGCACCTTAAATAGAAAGGAAAACAATCGCATTTAAATTAAATATTCGCTGGCCGTCTTCGTCGATCCTTTGACAAACAATTTGTTTCCGCACCAGACAAGATTTTTTTTTCAAGGAGGGGCTCATCTGAAATTTGCATATAATGACAAAACGCCCAAAAAAAAAAGTAAAAAATATTAACATAAAAATAAATTTTAAAAGGATAAAATGCGTGATGCAAAATGTTACCTGTAAAAATAGCGTGCTATGGTCATTTAGAAACAATTTTTAACTTAAAAAATAGTATATTTTCACACAACGTTCCATTTTCGAATTTAAATTTCGAGTTTAATGAATTTAAATATTAAAATTTTAAGTGGACAAAGCGGGTGTTTTTTTTTCTCCAACAAGGTAATTATTTTTACCGTGGTTATTCTTAAACTGTCTCTTAACGAGATAGAAAAATAAGCAATATTAGATTATTTTATTACAAATATGTAAAAGGAAATTTTTGAAAAATAAAATAAATTATTCTCCTCGATATTTGCTACGAGATCAAAAATGAAATGCGATTTACTTCGTGTAACTCTACAAATTGATTACAAAAACACATGGAAACCGCAAAGACAACACAAAAATAAGAAATACTTACTCTTTTCAGCAATCCAAAACCCGAGCGTCAGCAACCACTTTGCACCCCATGTCAACACAATAAAGAATAATTAATTAATAATAATATTTCGCTGTTCTCAAGTTGTCTAGTGGACACGTGACGCAATCAGCCAATAAGCAAACAGAATTAGTTGCCGATTGTACAGGGTGGACAAAGCTCAGCCGGTATGTTTGAACGCGCACTTCTCAATTCGTCGACGGGTTCGCGATATACCGGGTGCGTTCGAAAACGCGTATTTATTCGCACGGTACCAAATATATTGGGCCATTGAATTATCGATCTCGTAAAATAATCGATCGCACTGAAGTTTCGATAGTATCCTGTGCGATTAACTTGCCCAAATAAAGATGCCGCATCTATGAATTTTATTAACAATTACTACACGCTACATTAGAATGCGAACGGCGTTTGGTTTTGATTGTTTTGTCTTTGTTTAAACTGAACCGCTCACGCAGTAATTATAAGTGTAGCAACCGATATTGCAAAAATGTGGGGATTTGGGTGTAATTTTTTCGATTTTTGAATTTGCAACCCAAAAAGTAAACCCAAATCGTCAAGTATACTTTCGCTTCCATTTTTGGAATGCCGTCATTAATTTGCGATTAGGTTAAAAATGCGGCTAATATCGAATATATTTCTCAAAACCTTTCCATTCGCAATTTGTCGCGACTTGGGTATCGAAAAATAATATTGAATTCGTTTGCCGCCAGATTTTAAATGCAATCGAGGAAGGGGACTTCGTTCTCAAAGTCTATAGTTAGAAACCGCATTGGGTTCCAAAAATAAATGGGATTAATTTTTTGTGAGGTTTAGTTTGCAGGTTATTGCAAGTGAACTGACCCCTAGCTTAATTATTAATAATTTGGAAACTGGAACCGATATACTTAAGTTTGGTAAGCCAGTGTTCTTAATCGCCGATCGATATTTTGATTGCGTCGTTTTGATAACTTAGGTCCTTGCGTTATTTTTGGCCATATTTCCTGCATTGATAATTAACGCACCAAATCGTATTAAATTGGCCTTTGAACACTTAAAAGCAGCTATTGAATATACGATGATATATACTCAAAGGTATCAAAGCCTTAATTAATTTTAGAAGTTAAATGGGTGTATTCAAATAGTATTAGCGAAATATTACTAACTTCGTGAAAAGGAAAACATCATTTAGTTTGCATCTCAAGTAATGTTGTATGGGAAATGATTTCAATTTGCTAATAATTTAATGTCTATTTCGATGTGGCAAATTTATTGTGTCAATGTTTGTTAGTTTCATGCTTTAAAATCCCTTTTACTTAGTTGGAACAGTTGAAAAAGTACCTGTGCCATGGCCGAATTTGGTTAGCCCGGATCATCCGCCATAACGTTGATTTTGCGCATTTTCCTATCTTCGTTTCAGCATTTTGTAAAAATACTTGGGTAAAATTTCCCCCTTTGGCTATTTGTATCTTAAGGTGAATTTCAATATTAAGAAACTTTTAATCTTAAAATTTTATCTTGAGTTTTTTTTTACAAGTCGCACAAAATCTAAGGAAAGTTAACTAAACATTTAGGATTTTTGAACAATTGATTTGAAGAATGCATACGTTTGCTCTGTTATATGCAAACGATAATACAAAATAGAACTAGCAGAGTTAGAACTAGATTACTAGATAATTCTTTGAGTAAACAGCGGTTTATAACGAACGTATCGGTATGGAAGTTTGCGATTGCGCCCAAATGTCTTGCATATGGTGGCGCAAAATGCCGTGACAATGTAATTAATATGTTTATTTTCTTTTTTTTATATGTATATTTTGTTTATCCGTTGCCCCAGAGACCGTTACTCGCGGGATAAATCTAAACCTTCTTAAAGTAGTAAATATTTCATTTAGCGACTTATTTACATAGTGTTGATGTGCTGGAGTTTGCGCGAATATTTAGACATTCAGTACGCTGTAAAAACGTTTTTATCCAGCGCCAAAATGTACGTTTTTTTTTTTAATAGTGGTTCAAAAAAACCTAAGGGGCTCGTATTTTCTAGACTTAATGAAACCTACGAATACGAAGGTGTAATCGTTGACATCAAGGCAGCGACGATGTGCGATTAGCTTTGAACAATCAAGTGTAAACAAAACTTGAAAAAGTGCTGGTTTCGTTTTATATTGTACCTCTATTGTTTTTAAACATATCCTGCGATCTTGTATTTTTTTAGGAGTAAAATGGGAGATCGAGAAAGTTCATCTTCTTCTGGGGCCAATACCATCAAAAAGAAGAAAGATGATAAGTACAAAAAGCGAGATCCTAGGTTCTGGGATAATATTAAAAAGCAAATTGCGTCCATGACGGAAGAAGAGAAATTAGATTTTATTAGCGAAAAATACAATGAATTGTACAATGAACACAGAAATTTGAATACCCTAGTCCAAGCTAGAGAGAAACAGATAACCGTTCTGCAAAAGGACCTCGATCGTGAACAAGCTGATTTAACAAAGGCTATTCTGGCCAAAGGTCATTTAGAAAGTCTTTGCAGGGAACTGCAAAAGCAAAATAAGGCCATAAAGGCAACTAATTTATGTGAATATTTTCTTATCTGATAATTAAACAACTTTTTTTAGGAGGAAAACATAGCTAGAGTAAAAGAGGAAGAAGAAAGAAGACGGGAGGTAGCAAATACCTTCACAGAACGTCTTAATGCCTTAACAAATTTAATCACTGAGAGCAAAGACAAGTCTAACAAAGTAAAGGAAGAGAACCAAAGCATGACGGATAAGTTAAGTGAACTTTATGAACAATATCAGAAGAGGGAAGACTACCTGGACAATATGGCAAAACAGTTAGATTTACAAAAAAAATTGGCCGAGTCTGCAATCAAGAAAAACCAAGTGGAATATGAAGCACAGAGGCATAATTGGCTGGAAGAGAAGAAAGCCCTTGAAAATAATTTGCAGATTGGAGAAAACCAAATTAAAATTCTTCAGGCTCATGTTAATTTGTATAAAAGGCAATATGAAACTTTTGAAGCAACAATGACCAAAAGCAAAAAGGTAAATTCATTTTCCCACAGAATAATTGAATATAATATTTTTTATTTAAGGTGTTTGAGGGTTTCAAAGAAGAAAAGTCAAAAATGCATAAACAGGTCACTAGTCTTGAATCAGAGCGAGACGAATGGCGTTCTCGGTGGCAGAACAGTGCAAAATCATTGATTACACTTTCAGAGCAACACACTCAAATCACGAATGAGTTAAGAGCTGCTGAGAGTAAAATAGCGCTTCTCCAATCCAGTGAACCAAAAGCCACTGAGAAGAAGATAACACTTCTGCAAAATTTATGTAGACAACTGCAATTTGAGAGAGGCGTTTTTCTTCAACAATTGAAGGAACATAATATTGAACCCAAGCATCCTGTTCTGGAGAACCAAGAACCGGAAGAAGCCTCTTCAGAAATTCAACAGGCTCCTCAGCAAAGTGTATCCTTGAACCAAGAGATTCAGGCACTGAAAATTGAGGTAAAATAGGTGGATTCCTCCCATGGCTAAAATTTTTGTCTGTATAAATTGGGTACTCGTTTTATACTACTTTTCTGAACAGTATTTTAGATGTGTGTGTTACCATTTTTTGATGTGTCACTATTTAATAAATAATTGGGCTACTTTTAGTTGGCTGAAACTGATTCTGGCAACTTGGCGAAGCTGAATGGAAGTAATGAGATGCCGTCTTCTCCCGATTCAAAGGAAACAATAGTTTCCCTTGAGCCAGAAACTATATGTCAGGAAGTTGCTAAGGAATGTGAGAGTAAGGGTGAGACTAGACATGAGAGTGATGTCGCTCTGCCATAGAAATTAAATGGAGTAAAAAAATGTTTAAACAATAAGTTGTCTACTTCTAGGAGTATTTATATAATACACCTTTGGATATAACACTTGGTTTTATTTCCCTTTATTTGACCGTTTGCGCATGCCGTAAGTTACGGGCTACTTTCTAATTTTTAATTTGATCCCCTCTTTATTCCACAATATTTTGTGAATTTTAAGCAGAAGCTAAATGGTGGATAAAGTTCGTTTTAATGTACCAAAGACCAGTGAAAAAAAATGTCGGTCCCTGTTAAAGCGCCTCTACCTCATAGCGTTTACTCCGCTAGTAACCGACAGATGTTAGGCGCGATCCTTAATTGATTTAACTTCCGATAGAGGGCTCTATCGATATCGTTAGGTGGTAAAAAAAATTGTTTTGAAAATAATTTTGGGATGCGTGGGGGATAAAAACGACCCGGAGAAACACAAATATTTTATTTGGTTGTTTTTCTCTTCATCTACATTTTTTTAACACAGGAAAGTACAGCACAGGAACGAGCACCAAAAATAACGGACCTTAATGCGAGGCTAACCGGGCACGTTTCACATTTTTCGTCCAATCCTGAGCGCTGATGGTATGTTTAATTGATAATGAATAACGCGACCGGCTCGCCGGACATTTTGCATTTTGAACCGATATTTTCGGCGTGGGGCACAGTGAATGGCCGATGTGTTGTCATGGAAGCACAAGAACAAGCTTACATATTATTGTCATTGGACATCGCGAATATTATATTCTAAGTTAAATTGATTCTCTTATATACCCCAATGCATAAGACTAGTTTCTTTTTTTTAGCATTCAAAGCCAAGGAACACATATTCAACAGTTTTTTCTAGTAGTTTTTCCTAAACAATAATTTCTGCCATTTAAATTAGCGCGACATGCTACATACAGTTCGATTTTTAACATTTATTTACCTCTTTGGCGGGAATCGACCACACGAAATAAAAATAGCGTTTTTTTATTTTCTATGGGACGCAAGCAATTTTTTTTTACGCGAAATTGGCTCGCGAGCGGACTCTGTTGCGTTGCCGTTCAGGGACGTATTAAGGAAAAAGCTAAAATCAAAAACTTGTGAGAGAAATACGTATACGTAGTATTTCGCTAAACCTTCCAAATATTAAGGCACATGGATGGGAGGGGGGTGTATTTTTTCAAAAACTTTTCGGTCTTCTAAATCGGGGGTAATATCTGAGGCTTGTACTTCGTATGGTCGATTTCAACGCCGCACTAACGAAAAAAGCCCAAACAATGAATACCATTAGATTTTTGCGATTTAAACTAATTTTTTATAATTTTTAACAAAATGTCGTCAACTTTAGTCAATACTGTTGTCAAGCTCACATGTCTCTCTCTATTCATCTTTACTATACAATTATTGTCTAATAATATTGTCGGATATGTTATATCACGTTTTTATAAGTATATTCTATAATAAAAGCACATCCTCATGTGAGCTTTATTGTCTATATTATAGTATTTTTGGATGTTTTTTTTTAAATAATCTTAACATCCGAAAGAAAAGTCAGAATTTTCAATTACGTTAATATTGTATCACATTTTGTTTACCGCTATAATAGATAGATATTGACCAACAATTATTGTCGAATCTCTCTACAAAATTTACCGACTGATTCAATTAAATTTTAATACTCATCTAACCTATCTATAAGATAATAGAAAGCGTTCAACAAGTCGGAAACCGAAATTCCTATACGAAAACACGCCCTGTATTTCAGGACTTAATCCTAAAATTTGATTTTGCACGCGCATTTGGATTATGTAGTAAACACTTCAAGATATTCTGGAAAGTTACCCTGGTTAATTGATTTTCACTCGATTTAGGCCAGTGAACGACAGGGATGGCACGTATAAATTTTGTACAGCGATTCCCCCTTCGAAATCCATTCCCGCACATTTCATCAACGTTTTTGCTGTTTTTTCGCTAATTGACTTTGTTTGCGTTCCGCCAAAGCTGTGAAAACAAATATTGAAACATCCTGACGGGCACAGGATTGCGTTTTTATATTCCGCGTATTAAATTTACCATGTCATCCCTGTAAATGGATAGTGATATGCTATAGAGACCACCGTTTATTTGAGCTTTTAACATTTATTAGTGATAATTTTGCTTCTTTCGGATATTAATGATGTCTTACGCTACGTGAAAAACGGATAATATTTCAACGTTTTCAGCGTTTTTTCTTCTCATGATTGCGACAAATTTAACTGCATAATACGACAGTCAGGATACAATTTTTATCAGGGCCGTAGCTGCAAACATTGCCACATCAAATAAGTGTTTTGTACGAATCGAAGCCAGTTTTCAATTAATTTGTTATGGTAAATTTTGGTTTTGCTAGTCGATGTCGTAGAATGGGTTGCGAAAGTGCCGCCTCTTTATTTTAAAACGGCCCCGACTACCAAATTAAAACAGTACTATAAAAACTTGCCCCTATTTGGCGACGTCGAGCTTCGTTAAAAATCTATAGAAAACTATGTATGACATTTATATATTTCTTACTACAAGATATAAAATATATTTAAAGCGTTGTCGAAGGCTTCAAATTTTTTAAAAACATTTTCTATGGAAACATTAAGTGAGTTTAATCATCTCTTGAACACTGAACATAACGGATCTATTATTACGTATCTAAGCGTCGCTACGTCTGTATTTCAATACATATTTTATTACTATATGGGACCACTATTATTAAATTCTCAAAACCTTATTCGCATATGTCGAAAACCGGAGCATTATATTGAAATTTTAAACTCACCCAATAACGGTTTTTAATTCTTTAAAGCCCTCACATGGTAGATGAAAAATTCTCGCGATTTGATTTCCGGAAATGCACCGGCACCCGTAGATTTTTGGAAAAACTTCGGCAAACCCTTATCATTCACGGTTTTACGGACATTTTTTCAAATACACAATTTCCCAAATTCAATTTTTGTTTTCCAGAGTTGCTTTAAATTTAAAATTCTGATCACATATATACATGTATCCGGAACGATCTATTTGAAATATTGTTGCTTAATGTACATATATATTTTTAATATCGAACTAAATTCGTATAGTCCCCAAGATTCCATCTCGTTTTGAGGCAATATTAATGTTTTAGGAAGTTAGGCTTGGTGGCGTTCGCCTCTATAAATTGGTTATAATACAATAAGGGAAAATTATTAGGCAATTCGCGAATTTGCCCTCTGAACGTGCTAAATAGTTCTCTTTGAACTGAAATTTCGAAATGCGAACCGTTGCAGCGAGTAAAACGGATGGATCCAGAGTGTTGCCGAGTGTTTTCCCAATGGTGCGCGGGAGTGTTCTATAAACGTTGCGCATCTTCCATTCATGTACTTATTTTTTGTTGCTGTTGTATATTTAAGAGTATAAATCAGATCACATATATAGCGGTCCTCTTAGAACACTATTAAATTGTCACAAGTTATCACTATTTCAAAGGGTCAAACTACAATATTGTGCGTAGCCTGAATTGTGGCAGGGAACTTCTATGAAACGAAAACCAAAGTGTAATAACATGTATATACCACAAGGTTTCAACAAGTGCATATTTTAAGTTTTCATTCTTCATGTAAAATGTTTTAGAAAACATAGATATTACCTTGTATAATTTGTACCAATCTTTCTTTGTTTTTATTATCGAATAATACTTCAAATTGTTAATGGATCTCATTGATCGGAATAGCGATTTAATTGGGCTTGTATCCAATGTATGTATTTCGGTATGTAGGCGTAAACGCCTGGCAAATGGGGGTGCGCACATTTTATACCCCAACTTACTATTCCTCCTACAAACCATCGGTCCGGATCGTCGCTCTCTTTACACAGTAATGGACCACCAGAATCGCCCTGTATAAAATAAAACGCAAATGTTTAAATCGATTCGAAATTCCGAGTAGAACAATTTCCGCCATCAAAATATGAAATAAAATGAAAAAAATCTTAATTTTGCATTTTTCTGCTTTCGCAGTTTAAGCACTTTTCCACTTATTTAGAAAAAAGCGGATCATATCGATAACAGCGTATTCATGCTTGTTAAAGTAATAAGGCAACCCGAGCTTTGACCTCAAAGTAGGATTTTGCTGCCGCGATATATACACATAATTGCAATTAAATAAGGTCATTAAACAGGAATAGTTGTTAAAAGAAATTTTTTACCTTCGCCGAAATAGCACATTCCTTTTTGTCTGTAAAACCTATTCATAACGATAATATCGACGTCGGGGCAATCCCCTTTCACATCATCAGCAGTAAAAATGTTTGACTAAGTATATTTGAAAAACCGCGAAAGAGGCAAATTTTAAGAGGATTTTCTTGACGTAAAGAATCGGTTGAGGATTTTTAACGTCACAGAAGAATATTCTTTTTAATACCGATCTAATTGGCCGTTTGTGTACCCGTTTCTCTTCTCCAACACACATAGACTCGAGGTTTTAATTTAATCTCAATCGTAGCTAATCTTTTTTACTCAGTTTGGAAAGCTCGTGATGAAATTAATAAACAAATTAAAATTACAAGGGTTTAGTGTCACAATAGACCAAGATAATTTAACTAAAAATGCGTAAATTAAATTTCTAGGTGCAGATCTTGACTGCCAATGAAGATGGTCCAATCAAGTAGATTGTTTCAAAAAAACTTAATAATTTATATTTGTCTATATTAACATTGAAACCATTTTTAAATATCTCTTCTTTTCAAAATAACTTTCAGTTAAAAAAATAATAACTATTGCTATTGAAAGTCACTTTCTCATTCCGGGCAAGCATACTATAATATGCTTCCTACTGAAATCGAAAACGTAAACCAAAATGAATTAAAAAAATACTTAAAATCTTTACTGACAACAAATGTTTTTTAAACCCTGTTTGAGTTCGAAAATCATAGATAAAAATAAACATTCTATGACACAGTTTGCTCTTTGGTTGTTGATTCGTTTTTTTCATTTAATATGTTTATGTTTATAATTTTTTAAATTATTTAGGCATATAGCTATTTTCTCTACAATCTACTATTCTACAATCTCTACAATTCTACGTGAATAATTATATTGAATTCCAGTTCAGTTTTGTCGAAAGTCATTTAATGTTTTGCATTTAATATGACTTTCGAACAACAAATTCGACAAAGGAAAATTGTTTGAAAGTTTCATATATAAGTTAATTTGACTGGAAAACGATCGGATCAGTTTATTTAGGACGTTTTCTTCCGATTTAATGCCAAAAACGCGACGAGCGTCGCAGTTATCAGCAGTTTTCCACGAGAATAATAACATTTGCATAAAGACTTATATAAATTTAAGGGCAGCTTTAATTAATTTCGGGGTTGACAGAATTAAGTCGAATTATTAAAATTGACGTAACTAATTCATTTGCAGGGAACGCAAAAAAAAATGTCGCACGATGATGGGGGATGGGTTTCTAGTACCGCGGAGGGTAATTTCAAATGACTGTCACGCCGTCAGATGATTTATTTTGCCAAGAAAGCTTTACTAGAGAGATTATATTACATCGCGATTATTCAACATATTTTCCACATATCATCTTGCTATACGCGCCAACTAAAGCAGGGACAGTTCTTCCCTTCAAAAAATGCTTGCTCGGTGGTGTATATTTTTTATCGAAAATAATAAATTTGCGCCATTTCCGCGAATCGTCACATCATTCAAAACTTTTAAGAACAAATTGTACCGTCGTCTGCATGCACCGCACTACTATACGGCATATAGAAATAAACAATTACCTGACAAGCGTCTTTGCCACCTTCTTTATAACCGGCGCAGATCATGCCGTCCGTCACATTCAAATCGCGATGCTCCAGCCAGGAATTACACAAATCCCTGTTTAATACTGGGACTTCAACTTCATTAATCTCCGGTTCGTATTCGGACACTGCAAATTGCAACACATACATATATACAACATCTTCTCTATCAACAACAGCAAAAAAAATGTTTACGATCTTTTCTCTTCTTAACACCGCTTTGACGTAGTATCGTTGAAACTTTGAAATAGAACCGGAAACGTAGGAAAATGTTCATTAAATATAATACAGTCTGTCCACGAGGTAAACGACAAAATAAAAATGAGTTTTCAGGGCAAGCGTTTATTCGTGTGTGTAACTAATACCTCGACCAACAAAAAGGAGTGTTTTTAATTATACTGATTCTTTTTATTTAGTTTTAGAAAATAAAAATTGAAATAAACCAAAATAATACTCAAAAAATATTAAAAAAGGCTTGTGACTATTTGATTTCAAAAATTCATTGAAAACTCATTCAGAATTATTACTGTTCTGTCGTATTCTCATAAAATCTTAGCAAAAGTTGACATCTTTAATCAGCAAATTAAATTTAAACGCACTCGGAGCCATTCGTGACGTGCAAACGTGCAACGGATTTAGTTTTGGGCGAACCATGATTGCAATATCGAGCGAATTCCATATACAGCCGAAACTCTTTACTCATTTTGACTTCATTAATATACAGTCTAACAGTAAAACATACCTTGTCACTTCTTGTATATATGAGAAACTTGGCATCATCGCGGAGTCGTATATGGCAGAAGTGAGAAAGAGTGTCTGATGTCCAATAATTTTGAAAAGAAAAATAATTACCCCTCTTATGCGAAACCATATATTTAAGCCCCCCTCATCATATATACATCGAAAGTTTTATAATATACGTCTCGAAAATAGTGGACGTTAGGCCGCCCGCTTCACGTAGCGGAAGTCCCAACTTAACACGTATCAATCGCAATCAAACGGCAATCGCTTAAAATCGATGTTTTATCAGCTTTTTTCGAAAAAAGTCTTTGAAGTCTTTTTTAAATGGAACTACTGCACAGGGTGTCCGGGAGTTAGTGGACCCAACTATAACAGCATATTTTTCAATTTATTATTAAAATTTATGAACAGTGAACATCTTGTGTCTACAATACGACGCGTATTAATTGAAAAGAGATCGACTGTTTGCAATTCAATCGAACCGATGTAATTTATAACCGGCCTGGGATTCGTTTCGATATAATTTATAGTGACATTTCAAAGTGCTCTGTAGATTCGAGCCTCATATATTGCAGAGGAAATTTCCAAGATTGAATCTGATTATCTAGTAGACATTTTAATGAGCCGTAAATGCGTCGGTAATGTCACATATCGAGACGGTTAAATCAATATTCACCCCCCTGCCAGGGCCGCGACCCACGCACATTGTACTTTTAAAACAGAATAATAATGTTGCGAAGCACGCACATTTCTTTAATAAAAACCTCTTTAATTATACCATAAAAGTTGCGAGTTATCCCTCCGAGCCGGGCCTGTAGGGTGAGTTGGTATTATGTGGGAAACGGATCTTTTCCACGAAACCAATAAGAAAAGCGAAATATATTTTTTTGTTTGTCACCCTGTAATTCGTTTGGAATCCTTGTAAAGTGCAAATTCATTTCCCTTCCGAAGAGCTCTCGATACTTATTCTCTGTTTTATTCGTCGAACACCCTTCAGGCCCTATAATAATAACCGTTTCGACACAAGGGACGCTTCGCGTTAAAATACCGACGTCACGGCGACGGCGCGAAAATTTACGCGGTTTTGGTTTTTATTATTATTTAATCCGATTTGATAACGTCCTTTTTTAATTAAATTTTCCTTTGTACAACTCGGGAAAAAAAATCGGTCGCTCCATTTTTGCCGACTCTACGCGAGACAACGTTATTATATTTCCCTTTGTGTATTAAGCAGAGGTCCCGAACGAAATACGAATTTCAAAAATACATCCCCAGTGGAATTTTCTTCGCATCGAGTGTAGAGCATTCCTCATTTTTGTTATTGTGATGGGTGGCAAATTGTAAATTGACTTAATATTTGTGCCCTGTTTCTTCGAGATATTTGTGAATCATTATTGAACTGTAAAACTTGGGGCTGTTATTGGTAAAGCAAGTTCTTGAAAACGGTTAATGTTTCGGAATTTGTTGCTGAAAAACCGATTAGTAAAACTGCGCTTTTTTAAAAATTAGAAAATTATATATGTTCAAAACTCTTCCACACCAAAACTCGACATTTGGAGTTACAAAAACAGTTGAAATATATTCGAATATGACTGGAGTTGGACGGTCAACAATATACCGATTTGTGCAAACGAGACCAGATCATCAAAGAGAAGCACATGAAGAAAAGCAACTGTAATAAATGAGGACGAAAAGATTGTCATCAGAAAAATAATACACTCATTTTACTGACAAAAAGAAATACCTACCTTGGACAAAAGAATGTCCGAAATAAAAAAGTATGATTTCATTCCACCCATGAGTAAGAAGAAATTATGGAAAACTTTGAAGGTTTTAGTAGAGGAAAATGAAATTATCTACTTGCGACGTCGATATTTAAGCAGTTACACAGTTTTGAAGGAAAAGCAGAAATATTTAGCATGAAATGGAGGATATACCTTTGGTAAAAATGGCAAAAAGGTCCACCGGGATAAAAGCACCAAGGCATTTCGATCGAAACGGACTGCTGATGTTGTAGTCTGTTATAGTTAAGAAAGTCCGAAAAATGCCAGCAATAAGCAGCAATTTCAGAAAGATATGCTAAAAAAAAAGCTGCATGATGATTAATATTTACAAATGAAGTGGTATTGTACATAGTACATTTGTTATTAGTGTTATTTATTACAATTTACTTATTTTCATATTATTCTTACTTTTTTATAAGTTTTTATGTACTCGGTTTTAGAATAATTAATATCTCAATTATCTGCCCACCTCTATAATTATAATAATGCATAATAATTATTATATTTATTATTCTGCCGCAATCACATTATTTTCACTCGTCTCTCTATTGTATAGTGTGACCCTAATTTAGGATAGGATTCAAATCCTATCATTACAATTTATCTGAACTTTGCGATAAAATCTTTAAGTTGTTTATCTTGTTTAACGTTTAACTCGCCCTTATTAAGAAAGAGATCCTAGTTCATTTTGCTGGACACCTGGAAGCGGCAAATGTTTGTAGACTTAAAAAGTTCCAAGAAAAAAAAACGTAGACTTTAGTGATTAGATCAAAATCGAAAATAAAATTAAGGAGTCTCGACATAGTAAAAACAATGTAGAAAACCCGCTGCAAAGATGGCGGAAACGAGTTAGTTTGCCGGATTATCAGAAGAGTTTCAGCGCAAGTGGGCTATGGAAAACCAACGAGCGCCGCTATCTGTCATTTGAATTTAGTCCGTCATTTTTCCGTATTTGTCATCATTTAATAAGGACCGTCAGGCAAGAAAGATGAATATGTGACGACATTGATTCAGGAGGGATCATGTGTCAATATTGTGCATATTTCACCCTTCTGAAGAAATGACTATAATCAATGCCGTGGGCGAGAAATAACTCTGCTGGTTATAACATCAAGATATCTACAGGTGCGTTACTATCTATCATTGCATTTATAAGCTGTCATTTGAATTTAGTTTGTCATTTTTCCGAGTTTTGTTCACTGCTAACACTAGGTTTATCTCTACAGCAACCACCAATACGTAAGAGATATTTAATAATCAAATGAACGTTATTCTCAATGTGAACTGGCACAGACCCTTGTCTTTGCGTGGAGCACCCAACATAGTATTAGGATTATTTTTATAAATCGCGTCAGCAGTTCCCGAGAAAATTAACTTTCAAATGGACCGCAACTTTAGTGGTGTATAGAATGTATACCGGAAAAATTCCAAATTTTCAGCTATTTGCGGACAAGCCAAATTGTATTTACTGTAATTTACCTTTTACGACTTTGTAGGTACACGACAAACTCATAACATATAAACGAAAACGTGTTAGCAGGTGTTTATATTCGCAAAAGATGCATAAACGCTGCCGTAAAATATAAAAATGTATAGGAATGACTGCCCCGCAAGAATCGCACCGTTTTATGTATTTCGAATCGATTTTCGCAATTTGAAGCGAGTGTTTACAGAACGAAATAAACGGGACATTGTTTCAAAAAAATGTTTGACTTTCCGGTCGACGTTATATTTGCCGTATATGGAAAAAACGAATGTTTCGTTCGACCGAATTTTGCAAAATATCCTTCCGGTCGAAAAAGCATTTTAATTGTATCAAATATGGTATCCATCAATAAATCGTCGACGAAAAATAAACGAATACGCCAGAACGTAAGCGAGAAAGCGAACCGTACCTTTATGCTTTTTATCAGTGAATACTTACTTCCAGTGTCTTCCTTTTTGCCCCATCCTATAACCGTGCAAATGGTTCCTGGCTTCAGTTCTTTATTCGGTTTCGGTAGGCAAACAGGCAAAAGGTGTTCGTGGAACGTCACTCTGCTAGAGAGCTAAAGAAAAATTGTTTAAAAATCACCCTGAAATATAAACACCACCGTATGGAAATTAATAATAAATTTTAACCCTGAAGCAGTCTTTGCGTAAATAACAATTATCAATAACGAATTTTGAAATTTAATATTAGTCGGTAATTGGAAATCGTACTGGCGGTTTTTGCTCACTTGTATTTTTCGACCATTGAAAATTTAACGGCAGCTGTGCAACTAATTTTTCGAGAGGTAATAAAAATCAAAATAGGTTGCAGTATTGTCTGGTTTGACCTCACCAATACTTGTTCCCCTCACATAACATGATATACATACGAGCTGACACAACGGTCATTATAGGAACTTGTTTCCGAATATGCGAGTGAAACAGAAACATTGTGCGTTTGAAATCCGTTTTGATTCTGTTTAGTGGGCATACGGAAAGCGGAATATGTCAACTTTGCTACTTGACTCGCATAAAAACACCGTTCGCTAACAAAATGTTCCTCCCTAACAGCGACCATCTAGTGTAATCGTATCCAGAAAAACAACGAAAGAAAAATCTATCAATCCCGTTGCTGTAAAGTCACACGTGGCAATTTTTTTTTATCGATCACTCATAAAGCTCCGGAGTCAGCCGGATAAGTGGCATATTTCTTTAAATTGACGTTACGTAATGTTACTTTTATTGCGATTTTAGTTTACAATGTAAGAACTCGGAGGGCTCCGATTCCATTGAATTTTTTTTACCTACCTTTAACAATTGCAACAAATGTTGAGGTCGGCTAGTTTAATTTTTCAATTAATTTCCAAAGTTTTATATGTGTGTTTTGTATTTTTGATAAGCTATATTTTAATTCCTCTTAAATAATTATTAAGAATGCGACGTGGTCTTTTCAGACTGATCCCGGTATGGATACGTGTAAAGTATCTGCACGGCTTTTCGTGCATTTTCATTAAAACTGAGCCAATTAGATAATTAAATAACCAAAGGAGCTTGCCCGTCGCTTTGTAGCGTACAAACTCGTTGACTTTTAATTGAACTCTTGCAATTGGACCGAGACTGTTTAAATGACCACCGCGTTTATTTACGCTTAATCCAGTAGTACTTTAAATTTCCAGGTGTTTAATAAACAACAAATCTATTACGTTATTCGAAATTATTATTTATTTATTTTTTTAAATCACCTTACTCACATATACGTGGTGTGTTCAAAAAGTAAGCTGACTTTTATGATTTTTGTTATGTTGGTACACATATCTCTAACATATGTTCTCCGTTTCAGCCAGTTTACACTTTTATTTTTTGTGAGACAGAAGCAGATTGCGATTGATTGATTGACACACATTGCGAATTTGTACCAGACATAATGGAATTTGGTTTTACGTTTTATTTTTAGTTAACACCTCAACAGCCCTAGATTTGTTTTATTCCTTAAATTGCTGTTTTTCTACATTGTTCATAGATTATATTGATGCTTACAATAATAAACGTTTTGATATTATTATTATGTAAGAAGTGCCCTTCAATTACAAATATTAGGTAAATGTTTAAAAATATTTTAATATATAATAATAATAAATAATCAGATAAAATTTCATAAAATAAATAATACTAGATTTCAAAGAAATTCATATCGACAAAGATGACTATAAGCTAGCAATGCGACACAATTTTTTATAAATTTTCGTTCTCTTGTTTTTTTTTTTTTTTGATGAAACTATATCAAAAATATTAAACGTTTTTTCCGTACGGTGCTCCAAAAAATTCGATACCAAAGGAAGAGGAAAACCATGGAAATGTAAAACTCACCTGGAATAACGCGACGTCGTTATCGTGGGCCACCCCCAAGTTGTACATTGGATGCGGTACCACCCTTTTTACTTTCATTTTCTGTCCATAAAACGAATGCGCGTGTCTTCTCGTTATACCGAGTTGAATCGTCCACCCACTAACGTCCGAGTGACTGCAACGGGTTGTCAAATTCGCCATTTTTCAAAAACTTTTTTCGTTCAAAAGAAAAAATATATATCTGGACTTCAGGCAAACAGTATCCGTGTTCCGATTTTTTAAACTTTATTTGTATAATAATTAATGCCAAAACGCCAGAGTACCTTAATAAGAAAATTTTTGATTTTGATCAGTCGATTCTTACATTTAAGAATCGACTGATATCAATTCTTTTCTGTTATATTAAAATAAAAATAGTATCTTTTGTTCGGCCCCGTAAAACCGAATCTACTTAAAGTATTAAGGTTTTAGCGCAAATGGAAAATTGTTAATGAAGTTGTGTGACTTAACATTGTTTACAGTTGTGCCGGTTTTCTCTGTTTTTCTAATGGGAATCTGTTGTTAGTCGAAGCAAGCGCATCAAAAATTAATGCAAAAGTTGAACAGCTTTAACTTTCACCTAGAACCCAAACCTCTACCTCTACAAAAAAATCGGAAAATTTATTGAAATAGAGATTTTGCGAAAAACAAAATTTATTTTTCAATATAAAAAAATATATATGAAGTGTACATTAGGTATGGTCTGTTCATAGATATAAGAAAGGATGGTCATTAACATACAATGCAACAAGATTATTACCTAAAGTTTCGGAATTTAAATTCAGATAAAATGGTGGTTCGTAATAAAAAATAATTTTATACGTACCTGTGTTTAATATTCTTTGGTTTGGTATACGACTTAGATTAAGTTTATTAGTAATCATTCGTGTGTTGAATCGTGTGCGAATTATGCAAAATATGTGCGAGTCTAGTGTATCTCAGGAGATGCTCCCGCCTAAATGTAGAAAACACTATTCTATTGAGACTAAGGAAGTTATAAACAATGTTTATTTGACTCTCATTGAATGTGGGGCCAGCAAACAAGCATCTTTAGAAGACACGGCCACATTGACGTAAACTGTATGGAAAATTGTGAATAATCCCATTTCAGCGAGGAAAAAAAGAAGCGATGCTGACATTTTCTCGAGTGTAGATGAAAGTGATCAAGATATAACACGGTGTAACATTTACCAGTTATACGAGGAACAAAGCGTGCCTACATTAGATATCTTAATTAGGAGGCTTGAAAAAGATGAAACCGGTGTTAAATGTGGCAGAACTACCTTATGGAAGTGTATTCAACACACAAAAGGCAAGTTTTAATGGAATCTTTTAGAATTCGGAAATGTCGACTGGAATATCTAGAAAAAATTAGGATTTACAGAGAACAACAAAGGCCAATTATTTACTTGGATGAAACCTGGTTCGACACTTACGATACCCCGGAGAAGGATTGGGTTGACTCAACTGATAAGTGTAAAACAAACGCGCCATCAAAAAGAGGTAAAAGAATAACTATTTTGCATGCTGGCTCTAAAGATGGTTGGATGCCAAATGCGAAAAATATTAAAGATTCTTCTCTGGATTACCATGAAGACACCACCTCTGATTTATTTGAAAGTTGGTTTAAAAACAAACTAGTTCCCAACATTCCCCCTAATAGCGTCATTGTAATGGACAATGCAAATTATCAGAGTAGACAGTTGACTAAAACCCCTTCCTCATGTGACACAAAAGTAACAATCCAAAACTCCATGTATAATAACGACATTTATTTTTACGAAGATTATACCAAAAAGCAATTAATTGAGGTTCTACAAAGCTTGAACCTACAAAAGGAATACGTCTATTATGCAAAAAATCTAGGGCATACAGTTTTAAGGCTTCCACCTTACCACTGGATATTTAATCCCATTGTTTGGCATAAACTAAAATCTGCCATTCGTCATAACAATATTTTTCCCCGTGTCCAATGTCCTCAAACTTATAGAAACCGAAGTTTTTAACATCCTTCCACAAAGTTGGGCAAATTCTGTTAAACATGTGGATAAAGCAGAATAATCGTATATCCATATTGCCAATAATATAGCTCAAATATTAATTAGAACAGGCGATGATGAATAATTTTAAGTAATTTAAGTACGTAATAAAAATAATTTGTAATTTTATTTTAGATTTAAACATAAATACATAAATAAATAAATAAATAAATATTGTTTAGTACTTTTCCTAACAAAACCCTAAATAATTAAATTCTAAGCAAAGTACGGACCTGTTCGGCCATATTTCATTCTAACAGCTTGCCCGGGTCTTTCCTTAATTCGTATCGGTTAGTCACTTTCTTATATCTACGAACACATACACACACATACTACTTGATGTTGTTAAATGTGTAATTGGCGCACATAATTCAAAAAACATCGCGTTCCCATATTGATTCAAAAGCAATTCAAATAAGAACGATTAACCAAAGAGAATGGAAGAATATTATAATTGTTTGTAGCGTAAAAAACAATAAAAGAATCGATCTTACTTGCCGACACAGTGCGAGGCGGTGAGCACCCACTGATCGGCGATCAGAACTCCGGCACAGTAGAAAACTTCTTCGGGTCCTCCCAAAAGGGCAGCTAAGAAGGGCCAGTCTCCCGGTTTCGATCGAATACCTCCAACTATTCGAGGAGTTCGTTTGCGTTCGGCGTAACTTTTTCGAGCTTTCCCGCAGACTGAGGGGAATGAAAAAAAAATCACCGCTGAGAGCTCTCTCAGTTCCGATCGTCTATTTACAAAGACTCGTTTTTCTTTAACGTTTTTTTTTCTTTCGGGGGGTAAAGGTTTTATCTCGCGCAATTTCCGACGTTAGTTTAGGAAACCATCGGCGAAACTTGCAAAAAAATATGCCGCGGATAGGTATACGCAAAGTTTTCGAATTTCACGAAAATTCCTTCCAGCATTGAAAAGGGTTGATTTTTCTTTTTTTAATTATTATTCGTTTGAGGGCACATTCACGAAGTTAATTTACGCGCACGGCGGAAAAACTTTCAATAAAAATTGTTGAAAGCGCTTGAAATTTTTCCGCAACATTTTTCTATTATAAATTCGATTTTAGTTACTTTGACTTTATGTTGCTGATTAAAATTTGCAAGAAAGTTGACATGCCGACAAAATACCCCGTAATAATATAATATAATTAAATTCCCGTATCTCCTAAAAAAATGAATTGAAGGAAACAATTACTTGCCCTAAATTTTCGAAATACTGAACAGCAAGATACAATAAAAGCACCTAAAATAAGATGTGCTTCAGAGCACATGTTCGGTTAGAGATTAGTTTCCCAGAAAAAAAGAATAGAAATTTATAGAAACGTAGGTCTGCAAGTGCAAAAACGTTATAGTTTGATTTTTGTGGCTTCCTCTTTTCCCTTTCCGTTTTTATACCTGTAGGGACGACACTGGACCTCACAATTATAATCCAGTTATAGCAAAGTAAGGCAAATATTTAATATATTATAAAACAACAATTTATCTAAGAATTTTATAAGTATCTTGGAAACTAAGAATTTCCGAACTTTTTTCCTTTCTTGGATGACGAATCTTCAGCCGAGCGTTCTCGCATGTTTTTTGAAACACAGTGTATAATTTTCAAAAATATTCGTGGAGTTGTTAAATTAGGCAGGAAGTCAATTTGGTAATTAAATGAATGATTGGAAATTATTTAGAAAAAAAGAACATTAAAGAAAAGCGCCAGTTCGTTAGAATACAGTATTCCAGACTCACTGTAGTTGGTGCAAATTAAGTCGACGGTGGGGTAGTTAGTGCCGTTACAAGACGCAAATTCTCTAATCAAGTTGAAACGCTTGTGAGGATGCTGCTCCCTCGGATAACGCGATTCCGTAATCATTTCTGTCGATTTTTTATCCCGCAGGACACGGCTGTAGTTTGTATTCCTGGAACAGAACGTTTTCGTCCGTCCGGTCAAAATGTAAATATTCAAATATTATCGTCGATCGAAAAACTCTAAAATATTAAAATAAAAAATAAACAAAATTGACCCTACCCCTACTATTTTCTACTTTTAAACATTTTCCGTTGAAACCACTTCCAATTTAATCGGAAATGATCTCAACCTTCAAATGCACTAAGGGTTCCTAGAGAGAAAAGTGCGAAAAACGTCATGTTTTAGTGGGTAGTAAGCTATAACTTTTCATTTCATTGTTTTCTTAGCCGTATAGCCATTAAAAATTATTTAGTAGCGAATTCATGGTTATGGTTAGTCACATGCCGGACATCTTGGAAAGCGTTTCACGCATATTGCGAGTATGGAAGCGGAATTGGGGATTTCAATTTAAAATTATAATGTTGACTTTTAACCTGAAGTGGGTTGAATAAATTGTGTTTCACGCACTCCTTACTATATAAAACAATGAAATCAACATAGGTATTTTAATCGGATCGGCTATTTGTTGTTAAACTTGTTTACCTTTTTCATTTTCCCACTTAAAATCCCGAAAAATAGCTACGTAAAAAATTAATTTCTCTATGATCGTGCAAAACGGTTTATATCGTTGCGAATTTTGATTCCGACACATTTTAATAGCATTTAAAATTCAAACATCTAATTGAAAGGATGCTCGATAATAATTATTACGAACACTGTCCGGAACACATTTGAGTTACCCATAATTAACGTAGTCTGTTGGAAATCAGAATAGACCCGCGCTTCATGTAAATTCAAATCCCCCTATTTCTCTCTCTCTCTCTGCAGATTAGAACCGGTAATAATGAGAGTTTATGAATTGTTACTGAAACGCGTCTCATTTAAATGTATACAGTGGAATCGTAGAATTCTATGTAATTACTAGGACATAAATTTTAGTAATCTGACTACTTTCGGTTATCGGGAACGTGAGTCCACACGCTGTCAAAATTACCAGAATAATGTAAAATTTCTATCATCTTTGTTCTAATGAAGCATTTTAAGCTACAACAGTTCTCTATCGACGCCGGTGGATCTATCTATATAACATACAGAAATGCAATGCAATTTAACAAAAAAAAATTAAAATTAAAAAAGGCTTGAAATTTCACCCCTCTGGCTCGAACTAGTTCAAGAAATAGGTTTTCTTTATACGCTTATACTCACACACCACGTGAATATTAATTACAATAACAACTTACGCGTAACCAAGTAAAAAACATATGTTTTTCGATAGATGCTCATCCCAATGAGCGATACATGCCGGCACCCATTTTTCTTGATCGGGTCTGAACACTTCCAATTGCCCTTTGCCCTCATCGCCGTTTCTATCGCTCAACCTTACTGAAAAAATAAAACGGAACAATTTTTCATCCGCGTTTTCAGAGGTACGGACCTCCGTAAAACTAAAAACTATATTTGGAATATAAGAGGGGATAAAAGTATTCTAGTGAACACGTGAGATAATAAAACAAACCCCTTCTAAGGGAATCATCACCTTGCCGTGGTGAAGGGGCTCAGTAGCGTAACTACTCGTAGCTCTCGGATGAAGGTGAAGCTAAGAAGATTCCCACCCAGCGTCTGACCCAGAACAGGCGGCTGCAAGCAGGGCCTATTCTCCAGGTTAGGAACGGCTGAGATGAAAACTAGGAGAGCAAGGGGAAGCTACCTAGTCAAATACTTTCCCAGGAAAATCAAGACGGATCAAAGCCATTCAGAAATTTCAGTGCCGGACATCTCTTATTAGAAGATTGAGATACTTGAAAGTTAGATGGCTCAATTCGGACCACTTTAAGTATGATGAATATAACGTAAATCACTGTGGAGATACAACACAAAACAAAAAGTGAATTACTGCGCCATTAATTTTATTAGTTAATATTAATATTAATCATTAATTAATTACTTAAAATTATGCCAAACCTTTTAATATAAATAATATACGAACGAAGCATGACACCTTCAACCTGCACAACAAAATAAAGACTATGCCAGCTTATGCAGCAATAACCAACTTGTTTGCCAACAACAAGTAAAACAGATACACCATTTTCAGAGAACAGCGGTTACCCCAGATAATATAGAATCGCCGACGCAACATTTGGACATCCGTTATATACCTATTCCTTAGTTTTGCAGATATACGGACACATGAAAGCAGTTTACAATTCTTGCTCGCGCGTTTGGAGTTTATTTTGTATTTTGACTAAATATAAAATCGGTGTCATCACAAATATTCGATAGTCCCTTAAAAGAACATCGAACTTACCGCAGTTTCTTTCATCTTGCCCCCACGGGCAGTCAACTTTTCCATCGCACATGTGTTCTTGGTTGATGCACTTGTCAAAGCCACAATGTATCATTCCCGTACCGCATTTCTTACAATTTAATTCGTCCGACTGATCTTTGCAGTCGACGTGGCCATCGCATTGCCAGTCCTTGGGTATACATCGCTTCACGTCACATTGAAAGCCAGTTGGGCAGACTACAAGCGCGAATAGATATGTTTACTATTTGAGGGAAAGAACTTTTATTGTAAAAGGCATAAAGAAATTCGAGTCAACCGTTCCCTTATATTTACTGATGGTATGCAGAATGTTTTGTATTGTGTTCGACTTATTCACCACATTTAGGATTGGGAATACCATTCACGTAAATTCCGGAATTGGAGTTTGCTAAAACTTCCCTACAGAGTTTTATTTTGGATATATCCTTTATTACAAAATTTGTAGATATAGGAAATAGATATTAATAAAAAAATATGTACAGTATCTTTGTGTATTTCTCCGCGATTCCTCAACTATCTTCACGGTCTGTAAGGGCTTTTCAAGGTGCTCGAAATTTGAAGAAAAGGAAACATCAACATGGTTTTAATAATTTCTACCGTTCAAATTTGAACAAAAACATAACTATTTTTTAGAAAAACATTTTTATTTTTGGAGGGTCCTCATATCACTGGCAAAAATTTTGAAAAATGATACCCCAAAAAAAGTTCATTGATGCTTAAAAAATTTGTAATTTTATAACTGAAATCTAAAGTAATATCAAAACATTCTTTTTACAAAACTTCTGGATTCCTCTTGCCTCGGTTTTTGCTGAGTCAAAATTGTTGACGTTTCGCCAATCATCCTGTTGGCTTCTTCAGAGCTTGACTGACATCACTGACCACATGTCAAAAGTTCTAAACCAGATTTACCACTTGTCCAAAAATCTCTCAACATCTTCGATCAGTCAAAGACAAAATTCCATTTGAGATGCCGAGAGCAGCATACCATGAATATCCGGCATTGGGACGAAAAATATCAAGTAGGTTCAAAGAACATGAAAATATGTCGCTTATGATGATGCAGTTGCCGAACACTTTTTCTACCAACGAAAAAAACCTCATTTAGTTCCGCCCCCTCAAACAATATATAAGCAGGTACAGAGTAAAATGCGAGTCAGTTTCAGTCAAGCTCTGAAGAAGCCAACAGGATGATTTGCGAAACGTCAGCAAAAACCGACGCAGGAGGAATTCAGAAGTTTTGTAAAAAGTATTACAGTAGCCTGTGGAAGTTTCTTTGAAAAATTAATATCAAAACATCATAAAAAAACACATTTTTGTGATAGTGGGTCCTGCGGAGTTTTTAGAGGTAGAGCTTTTACAGGGACTTTTAGAGGAGTTTTTACTGATTTTACTGATTACTGTGTTCGTTTTCTTTCAATGTATATTATTTAAATCAAATTTTAAGTCCATTGGACTATGTAAGACAGCATATAAACAAACAAAACACAAATTTAAAGTCATGAACTTAAAGCTATTAGCTTTGGCTTGTTCAAGTATTGTAATTGTAATGTAATTTTTAATGAATATTGATTAACATTTCCGCGAGGAAAACAATAATTTGGTGAAATCAACATGTTTCGTTATACATGCTCTACCAAGTTTTAACTACTTCTCTTCAGCACGACCTTCAGATCACTTGACGCGAAATCCCATCGAATCTTTTCTTATGTAAATGAGTCGCATGTAATAAGATTTTCTTCACCGTCAGCGACGAATGCGAAATTCTTATTAAAATCAGCTGACAAATAAAATTTCCCGTCTTCTAGGTTATACGGATACGGTATCGCAATAAATTCTTTATTGACAGAACCGAATAAATTTATTTCGAAGTTTTAAATCCAGACTCGATGTTGCAATCCATATATCGCAGATCTAGACGCAACAGGGTTTAAGGTTTAAAAAAATCGACCGCGTAGGTGTCACACCCACAATAATCGAAAATGGATCTGGAAAGGTCGTAGTTGTTAGAGCGTTTTTTTTTCCAACAAAGTCGAAAGTGGGAAAAAACAGAATCCGGATAAAATAAAGCATTATTCCCGATGATAATCCGGAGGATGAAAATTTGGATTCGAATGCCCTACGGTCATACAGGGGATTCGAGAATTTTCTTTTCTGAAAGCTACAATTTAAGGAAATTTCTTCTAAGTTCTAAAGTATCCTTTGCAGTCTTTCAATGCGTTTCATTATTTCCGGATTTAAAATAGTTGCGGAATTTTTCCGCTTCCAAGAGACATCCGCTTGGCTTTTCTAAATCAGAATCGAAACAAACGGTAAAGAAGAATTTAAAATGTCGCTGGAATATTTATTTTATATTTTTCTCGTAATATATTTAAATACCTGGAAGGAAAATATTCGCAATGAAGTTTTCTCCTTAAACGCCACATTATTTCATGTTAAATTGTCTCATGCGGCTGCCAGTTTGTAGTTTTGAACCGTAGATCGCAAAAACGCAAAATCGCAGAAAACGACTTACTGGGTTTGGATTCTCTCAGCTTTGCAGCTTTAACTTCCGCATGACCGATGCATATATTGGGGTCCCCCGATTCCGGGAACAAGCTGCATTCCAGATATTTTGGTAGAGACAGGCCGAAAACGTCAAGGAAAAAACCGCACCGCCTTTTAGTCTCTAAAAAATAAATCATTAATTTCAGTTTCAGTTGGTAAAGGGGAAACGCTTTAGTGGAGCTCAAAGCGGCTTATATAGAGCACCCAGCGTGTTTTCCTAGAATTTTCCGGAAAATTCCCGGAATGAGTATAAGAATGATGTCTTCTATATATAACTGCGTACGTCGTTCGATTTCGCGCATTTTTATTTCGAATCATTCCGCAAAATATCTGCGTTTGAAAAAAAATTATTTTGATATTTCATGTATCTGAGCTTGTATGGATTATCCCATATCGAAAATAATAATTACATATTATACAATTAAAGAACAGGATTGCAATTACAAAAAAATTACAAATGGCAGTTACCACGATTAAACAATTAATATCAGCTAAGCTAATATTTTTTATTTATTACACAAATTATTAAAAAGGAAAAAAATGGTATCGGAATTCCAATAGCTTTTATGTGCTGATTCCGAAAATACCGCCTTATCTTTTCTATCCGCTTCAGTTTTTGAGATTACGTGTTAATTACTATACTTCGAAAGAGAACAGAAAAGCTATTTCTGATTTTGGCCTATCTTGACTATTTTGGGAGATCATCATATCTTGGGTCTCGCATTTTGTATGTAAAACATTTGACATTGTTCAAAGGGGAAGAAGAGAATCGCGAAACCATTATGATCATGATGGGAAAGGCATGACTAAAAACAGTAGACCGAAATGGGTATATCCTGTTCTAAATTCTGCAATAAGACCTGTGACGCGCTCATGACAAATACGCGTTCTTAAGCGGTTTTTTGAACTCACGGAGGATGATACACCGCCTGACGATGTTGGGAGGATTCAATCAGAAAGCAATAGCGAATTTGAAGCAGATTGAAGACATGAAGGTCACAAAGATCATTATCACTGGGATAGCCACATGATGGCCGACTACTGGAGCGTTCAGCGAAACTGTCCTAGTAAACTCCATTCTAGAAAGTCGTACGAAAGGAAATTTTTAAGTGATAGGTGACTAATGTATAAATATCCGATTTTTATAATAAATAAATACTGGAAATAGTAATACTCATTAGACGAGTTCAAAAAATATATAATGATAAATATAACCTTTTTTTGAATTTGAATTACCCAGGAACGCAGGTATCAAAATGTCTGTTGGACTGTGTTATTAACGGTTTTGTAATCACTTTGTTTACAATGTTGCTTTGAATAACACGGGCGTCGGGTAAACGCTAGATTGTGTATAAAGAGCGGCCTTTGTGTCACAGAAAATGGTTCTTAATGTTAAAGAAACAAGAAGTAGGTCAGCGGAATTACGATATCGAAGTGGCGGAATCCCTTTTTGAAATAATCGCGTACCCGCGGGATAAATTCCTGCATCGATTTTCATGTTCATACGTACCCATACACATATTCCTGCAAGGTCTAACAAGAACCCCATCGGGACCGCATTTGGGCACAAATATCGTGCACAAAAATAAAGCTGCCAGTTCATAGCATCTGACGTCGACGACAGCGTCGTAAATTTCTAAATCGATTTGTGCGTCCCTTTGGCCAAAATGACCGACATAATTCGGATATACCGTGTAATTGTAGGGCAACTGGTGTTGTTTACAAAATCTCACAATAACTGGGAGACAGATTCCGGGTGCAGGGTTGTCGCTTCTCTTCTCAATTATAATCGGCGTTGTTGTTACGTTAATCGTCTTGTTCACAATCTTCACCACATTCGACGGATACGCTGCAACCACAATTGGATCACTAGCTTTACACCGCGGCTGAATCAAAAGATCATCGAATATTCTGAAGGAAAGAGGTGGAATTTGGGTGGAAAATCAGAAGAAAATGGTGTTTTATCATTGGAAGTGCTCATACATCTACTTGCCTAGTGAAAAGTGGGAAAAATTCAATGAAAAATTGTCAAAGAAAAGAGGAGCGAGGCAAAATTGAAATTAAAGGAGAAGATTCTACTGGGAAAACGTAGCAAATGACAACCGCCAATATGGGGTGGACGCGGCAACGATGGAACGTGAAATAACATTCAGTGATGAATTGGATTTGCTCAAATATCTTGGGGCAAATTAAAAATCGATTTGGCAGAAAATATTTACATTTTTAGGTTCGCTTAGCTCCGTCCTGTTTGAAGATTTTAATCTGTATTTAAATTCGCAAACAACTTCTTGACATTCCGCTCAATTTTTGTCTAGTTTGCAGGCGTTAACGATATACGTGACAATAATTAAGCTGCTTTTTATAAAATTCAGATTTCAAATTGCTGCCATTCGTCTCTACGGTCCAAGAATTTGTTTGCCTTGTGCTGGAATTATTTCAAAATATGGGGAATAAACTAGACGGCAGATGAAGTGAATTTGGAAAAGATGATATTGAATGAACCACTAGGTTAACCATACGGCCATTTTTTTGATAAATTGCGTTGCTGTTGAAATATGAATATTTAATGAAATTCCGTTTCTATTTTAAAATTACAATTAAAATAGATAATAATAACCGATAAATCCTGCCGTGTGCATCGGGGTAGAAATTGGTCGAAACCGGCTGTTTGATAAACGAGGTTTATCAGAGGAAAAATAAATTATTAATAATTATTATTATAAAAAATTAATCCGCTTCTCTCATTTTTTTGCATTTTATGTTAATTAAATTATTTTAATTTGTTTTTAAGGCTTTGGCCCTCATGTAGCTTCAATATGTTCCTCGTTACATACCCCCCCTGCCCGGGTTCTGACCATGTTCTTAAAAATTTATTCGAATCCAATAAAAATTAGGCAAATTCTTGGCTGTTGAAAATCGTGTGATTAAAATTCTAAATACATTACGCATACTTTGTAAAGTTTGTGATACCAATAGAACAAAATAGAGTAAATAGAAAAACTCACAAAAATGTGATGTACTTATTCAGCAAATCCAAAGGTTTTTTATCGAGTTCAAAGTTCCGAAAACAATTGGAAGAACTTCAGATTTATATCAAGTTATATCGGCTCCAAAGTTCATAAATTATTTTATTATTTTCAGTTTTTTTTCGAAATATTAAAACAAACGTTAAACTTGGTATAATGCCGTTTCTATCTTTTGAAAAAATTTAATTTGCAGAGCTAACAAAATAAAATGTGGCCGTATATATGTAAATCCTCCTCTTGAAACTTTCTGAAATTTTGGTTGTCTATTTAGGATTATATATTTTTTACTACTCTACCTTTGAAATAAGCAGTCATGCCGGCGGCAATCGCCAGTAATGCCACAGCGTTCACAACAATCTGGAGCAATCGAAATTTCCACAAAAATTTACTTTCATAATTTTCCGACGGACGTCTTATATCTCTGATAATCTGAAACAAGTTCCTCTGTTCGTTTTTTTTTCTGGCGACTTTAAATTATTTCATCATTCTGAAGAGCCATGCAGCATTTATTTGCCAAATGGAAAGCCCACCGCCTCAACAATGCTCGAAACGGATAATAATTTACATCGGAATTAAAAAGCTTCAACCTGTTGAGCCAGAATGATGAAATAAACGCACCGACAATCGGCAAACCAATAAATTGAATTACCTTGTGATGCACCGACATGTTGGAACCACTATGGAAGCGTACCACAGCTTGTAAACTAGCTGGAGTCGAAACGCTTTTGGTGATACCGTTAATACTATCGGTGTCATTATCTTCGTCGTCTTTGGTACCTTTAAGTTTGTTTATGACTATCCCGTTTTGCGATCTGTGAATTGAATGTTTCGGAGGGATAAGGGGCGTTTCCATGCCTTTCGTGGTATAACTGGGAGACGAATTTTGACTAAAACTATCGGTCGAAATTCCAGAATCTTGTCTCATAGACATTTTTCCCTGTGGATTTTGCTTGCACAATCTGCTCGGTGTAGTCGGCGTATTCGCCTGTTGCTTATTGGACGTTTTTTGACATTTGATAACGTCCACGGACTTTACGTTATCGAATGGAAAGTTTGTCGCTTGTTTCTGATGCTGGTTATTTTTGTTGATGTCCAATTTCCTAAACTGCTCCGACAATTGTTCTTTCGTCGATGGAACGGCCGTGCGTTTTTGATTAGGCAGAAGCTGATTAAATGGGGGTGCTCGAGTTTTTGGTGTCGGCGGTAACGGGGGCGGGCGGGGTGATTTTGGCTTTTTAGTGGTCTCGTACGCGAGATATGTTAAATTTTGGTTGTTTACCGGCAGCGTTCGTTTAGGTACAGGCGGCGGTCTTATCGGTAAAGGAGGTGCTTGGTTCTAAAATTCATTCATCAAGATTTCCATCAAAATGGATATTGCAATCTTTTTTTTTGGAATTTATATTGTTTCGCGTACTAACTAGTTCTGACTATATTAATCTCCCTAAGTTAAAATAAAATTGACAGTAATGACGAAGAGGTTAGCTTGATTTGTTGTGGTTAAATATTGATTAAGCTGTCTACCAGGGGTGGCCAAGCCATTTCTTCGCATTTAAAATGTATGTTTTCGGAAATTATATTTATTGAAAACACATTAATAAAAATACAAAACAAGTGTATTAAATTTCAATATCAAAAATTAAACACACTTATCTAACTACTCTCAATTAATTCTTTAAAATTTGTTGAATGATTGGTGATAGCACCTCTCAGTAATTCATGGAGATATTGGTTAGTTAATATTGATTTCACGAATTTTAAAGTTGCTCCGAATATTGAAATAATTCGACAAGCAGCCTTTTTTAATTCTGGTTATTTCGATTCTGGTCCGAATTTCAAATTGCAGAGCTTGATCCTCTTGTATCTCTATTCATCTTCAATTATGAAAATAAGTTATTTCCTTTTCTTTTAAAAATACAGAGTCACAAATAATCCTTCAGAGTCGCAGGCTGTCCCCCCTCCCCATGATCATTACGTTGCTTATTAGTAACTAGGAACTTTAGTAGTTTGAAGTATTTCATATAGCTATCAGTCAAATCAGCAAAATTTTCAAGTTTTGGTTCGTCAAATGGCGTGAACAAGCATGCAGTCGTGCGACAATTAACTTACGACAAATTTTTTGTCTTCGGTGGTCAGACACGCATGCGTCGAATGTCTTCTGGCGTAAATATGGCTCGAGTTGATCGGGGCGAGGGTTAGAGACCCCGTCATGTTTACGTTATCCCTGTTAAATAAATCCAGAAGGGTTATTGGTTGATTAGTTGTGGGTCCGCTCCATCTGAAACAAATACGTTTATTTTAAATCATCCGTATGTTGTTTTTTCAGCAGCTTTTACTGACGTACAGGCAGGGGTTCGTACGGTCTCCAGTGAATATTTAATCCGGGCAATTTCATTTATAACCATCCCTCTGCTGTGTACGCGACGATTTTAAAAGATGTTTGCACGGGTTAGTGCAAACAGTAACCCTCAGCAACCGATTCTAGTTTTCGGCGGTATCGTCAAAGGGCATATCTCTGTATAACTTTGTCAAACTACAGCTCCGAATATGTGGGAATAATTCAAAACTAACGCGCCGATCGAGGTTATCAATTTAAAGTCCTTCACGAGAATATTATAATAATAGACCACAATGAAATTGAAACACAATTGAATGTTGTTATTTCTCATTATAAAAAAAGGAATAAAGAAACATATATTTTTTAAGGCAACGTTTTTTCGCCCATAATACAGGGTGTTATGCTTCATTAAAAAATTACATTTTTTGCTTATAAATTTAGCAGTTTTTAACAGATTTTCTTGAAGCCTGTTATCCTAAGAGCCTAAGATCTTAAAACATATTTTGATTGATAAACTTTTCTGTCCTTATTAACGAAATTTACTTGAGAAGTGGAAAAGTTTCTACAAAATATGTAAAAAAAATAGATTAAAAATGCCATAATAAAAGTCCCAAGTATTTTCGATTGACTCTCTATAGGTAGAGCTTGACTTATAGTAGGATTAATTTTGACATTCACAGTTGAGAAAGAGAGTGTAGGAGAAAGTCAACATTCTGATGTCACGAAACAGTTAAAATACCGAGGATTGCAAAACATTGTTCTTAGGGTTCACTTTTGCAATTTAAGTAGCAATTTAGAGTTTTCGCAACATACAATATTATAAGTTAGAAAAAAGCAAAAGATCTCGGGAACCAATTATCTTTTTCTCCGTATCAAGCAGCAATAAGTTATTTAAAAATATGATCCATTTAATTGGTTCAGTTAGTTAGGTTAATTAATTAATTTTTTTTTTAATTTAATTAAATAAATTTACTTGAATTTACTTTACAGGTAAATACCAAAATTTAAAGAATCGCGGTCTATTAAGTGGGTCTATTAAACAAGTTGGATGTATCAGCGTTACATTTAGACATACCTCTGTCGGAAATCCGGGCATTCAACTTGACTAAAACTGTTGCGGTGTCGATCAACCATGATGCCCGCTTAGAGCATATTGATGTTGTATTCGGGCTGACAAACCTGTTGCACCTGTTAAACAAATATGTAGATTGAGTCGCATTGATAAATATATCAGTTAAACGTTTGTTTGATATTAAATATTTCGAAAATTGTTTTGTGGATTTAATTAACATTCGTACCCTATACATTGGCTCATTCGTTTGTCCTATTTGTCTTTGTTAGGTGGACAATCGCAATAGGTTTTGATAATAAATAAATATTTTCTAGTTCCAACTGTAATATAGCGTTCCAATTATAAAGTAAATATTTGGCTAGGATTTTCGCATATTTCGAATAAATTTAAATTTAAAATGCAATAAAACTAATAATACGGGCCCCTTCGGTTGCTGTGAATTTAAAGAAAAGTCAAAAAATTTGAAACGTAAATCCAGAGATAGAACATTCGAAATGAAAATGGATTGTTTTCTCTGAGAACAAATAAAAATTAATTCAAGACTTTGTTCGACACGGTTTTTTATTTATATAATTGATAACCGATAAATTTAATTTCTGTTTGTTTTCCCCGAGATCTGAAACACAATCGTTTGTATTTCTTTGTTTGCACAAATAACTCCCCAGATTTATTAATTTAATTTATAGAGGGGCTCCCTTACGTTTTCCAGAACATCGGAACCGGAAGTTAAAAATTGCTTTTCTACGAATGCGAGGTAAACTGATTTCCACGTATTCGAGCTGAACCGTCTTTGCTTTTCCTTGATTTTAAACTGCCACATGTTTTTTGGATGCACGCAAACTTTTTCTTCCTTACTTGTTAAAATTCGTCTTCATAATCAATGTTACATTTGCTTTCAACTGGGTCTTACGTATCAATCTCAATACATCAATACCGAGACATCTAAACCTCGGACGGTTTTACGGAAAGAAAAGTAAATATTAGACCTCAAATTGATTTTGCGGAACCGTCCAAATAGTTCTGGATTTAATATACCGGCTTGTTTTATGCCGCAATTTGTTTAGGCGGATGTACGTGCTATTTCTAATTTATTTACTATGTTGTTTCTGATAAATCTAATAAAATAATTTTAAATTTTAATCTTTGCATTGGACAAATGAAGACATATAATATATAAGAAAATGAAGACATCGAAGTGAAGTACTTCCATTTCAAAAAAATTGGTATTAAAATTGTATTTTGCATCAAAATCAAATCAATTCGGCACAAATGCAAGCATATTTGAAATATCAATGCAAAAGTGGTATATTTCATTTTTTTATCAGCTTCGCGTTAAAATCGTAGAAGAGAAATAAAATCCCCAAAAACGGTTAAAAAGATTCTTCTTGGCAAAATTTATTTCCACACGCGGAGCCAACAAAGCATGTTCATTTCGTTGCTCATTTAACGAATATGTTTATCGAGTAAAAGCGAAATGGTTGTTTTGAATTTTGTTTTTATTTTTCGATTTGTCTTTGAACCTTTTGTTCGTCTGACCCTGCCGAGCGTTGCCTTCCGTTATTTCCAATTCCAATTCTTTTAACCGGCCTCCTTTTGCAATTAACATCTATAATTATCAGTGTTTTTTTAAGCTTATAATTTCGGTGCGGTTAATTTATCACATACCGAATTTTTAAATCAACGTTTTTAAGGGGTCACGAAAGTGAAAATGAAAAAGTCGCTCGACGCAAGTAAAATATTTAATTAAATTCCTCCAAATATCAGCAAAATTATGTTAGGGAACTGTTCGGGAAGTTTTATTATTATAAGAATTGTACTTCATTTTTTTGTTTTCAGGTATCTACTGAGTGTTTTGGCCTCTTGGATGTAAACTGGATTTAAAGGAAGCGGATTTCCACGAAGCACGTAGTAGGGACCAAGCTACCCATGCAGTTGTATTTGTCAAGAATAACGATTGGATAGTGGCTCACCCGAATACACTCAATGTCGTTGGTTAGAAAGTGATAAAATTTCTTTCTCGAGGTTGCTACGTCTGAACTGTACAGGGTTCTGTGGAGAACGTCGTTTATTCAATCGAAATTCGGAATGGAATTGATTGAGGGGGACGAATTTTTGCGGCGGCTAATCGCATTCGTAATATGCCTGGCATATCCCATTGATTTCGGGAGACCTAGATTCGATGGTGTCCGGATGGGCTTAAGGGGATAGTTTTGACATTTCTTGGATTTTTACACAACGATATGTAGAAAATAGATTCTCGCCATATGCGACAGCAAGTTATGACCCAAATTGGAAAAAGTTTATTGTCTTCGAGTAATTAATTCTACTTTTTTTCTCGACAAGCTATTTTTTTAACGTATAACGTGGCAGAAGCAATCGTAGGTTCGGCCACGTAAAACTATTCTAGTTGTCATTTTGTGCGAAACTAGGACGAAGCAACTAACCGGGGTAAAACGTATCGAAAGTGAAAGCGGTTCTAGTTCTAAATAGAGAGAGGGAGAGCAAAGAGCGCTCACCTGGTCCCAAAAATAAACTCGAATTTTTAGGTTTCGGTTTTTCGTGGACTTGTACGTATACGGGGCGTTTAAATTTGATTCGAAAGGAGCCGGTAAATTTTACTCCATCCTAGTCGCATTTTGCCTAGAAGCGACTTTTACAAAAATTAAATTAACGATTCTTTCATGCTCTATTTTGCCTCCCCTCAAAGTTTATTGAATTTAATTTGTTTTATTAGGAACTTTCGTTTTCCAGTAGTAAAGTTTGGGAATTTTATCCAAATGGACAGAATTACGAAGTTTGATATTCGGGAGTAAAAAAAAAATAATCAGGATTGTCGGTGAAAAAAAAAGTCGATAATAATAAAATTTCCGCAAAAATCGTTTTAACGCGAAGTCAAAATTTACCGGATCAAATTTAAAGGCACCGTAGAAATTGAAAAAAAAAAAGAATACCGCTACAGAGTGGTAACACCAAAACAGCCAAACCGATCATAGATATCGATATAAAAGCAAAAGTCAGTTAGCAGTCAGTTGCCAGCACACTACGTGCTCACCTGGGGCGCGTACAGCGCGTAAGTATTTGGACGACGTTAAAAACGTTGTGTGCGTTACCTCGACGTGGTAACATGTGCACAACGCGCGGAAATTTCTTGCCCGCTCTCCCGCCTTTACGACGACCGTTTTCCAAGCCTGCGCGGGGCGGCGTGGCGTTAGCGGGACCCCGCTCCCGGCTACTTCGGACCCCAGCTGGATGCCGGCTGCCGCCCGCGACGCCGCCGGCGCCGACGCCGGTTACGTTCGATGCAGCGCCTGTCACGACTCCGAAGATCTCATCTACCTGCCCTCCTCCTCTAACGTTCCCGACGAAAACGATTATTCATCAACACTCGTCTAAATTTCGTAGGGCAAGCCGCGTAATCGACAAAAAATAAACACCGTCTTCGCTTTGGACCTCGAACGAGTCCTGCTCGTCGATCCGGTGTCGCCAAGGTTGTGTTGAGCTAGAAAATGGCAACTGGCAAGTGAGATGAATTCGACAAAGCTGCCTTTAACCTCCTTAGTTGGTTTACGTACTTCAAATTTGAAAATGCTGATGGGCAGAGTGACCTAGGATAGTACGTTTTTCTAGGCAGATCAATGATGATATATCAAACTAGTCTGCCAACTCGTTCTAGATAAATAAAAGCAATAACACTTCTAAGGCAACATGGGAGATCATCAATAGGAAACGCAAGAGTGGATCAAATTTTCATTCACTGGGTATCACTTCCGACAACTTCAAAGAATATTTTAGAAACTAAAAATATTGATAAAACTTACGATCCAACTGCGTCTATATTGAAATGAGAGACATCCTGACCAGTTTTAAGTGTAATGATAGTAAAGACATATATGATATAAATATCAATATTATCCATTACATTAAAGACTTAATAGTTATTCCATCGACTAAGCTGACGAACAGGTGTATATCCGATGGTATTTTTCTAACTCCTTCAAGTTGTCCAGAGTGATTCCAGTTTTTAAGAAGGGCGATGCAAATGATATAAATAATTATCGTCCAATATCTATTATCCCCACAATCCGTAAAATTATTTGAAAAGATTCTATATTCTCAATTAGCAGCTTACTTCGAGGACAACCGTTTGTTGTCTCCGGCCCAGTTTGGATTTAGACGTGGTAGATCGACATGTGGAGCGATTAGTAGAGTTCTTGATCAGGTTTACGCAGCTTTTGAAGGCAGAGAGTACTCCGGCACAGTCCTATGTGATCTTTCGAAAGCGTTTGACTGTGTCCGACTGAGTAAATTGCTGAGGTATGGTGTGGATCCCTCATCGGTTGGATTCCTTGAAAGTTATCTTTCCAACAGGAGGCAGATCGTGGTCCTGAATGGAAAATCATCACAAATTAGAGTTGTTGAACATGGATTACCCCAAGGATCCATTATGGGCCCTCTTCTATTCATGATCTATATAAACGATCTCCCTGAGCATGTTGCTGACTAACTTACATACATACCTTTTCTTGTCGAAGTCATTCTGAGAACGACTTGGTGCACAGGATGGAGGGGGCTCAGTCCGAGGTTAGTGAGTGGTTTCGTGCTAACAAACTTAGCCTCAATGAATCAAAAACACAACAGATTATATTTTCTTTACGCGAGTCAACTTTCAACAACCCATTACATGTGAATTGTCTTGGACTTCTGCTTGATCCGAAATTGAGAAGTACCACGGCCCAGGAATCCACTTAGGAGGGTTGCAAGTATACATTCCTTGAAATTTCCAAGATTTTATACCGAATTGCCTACCAAGATGAACAATGAAACAAAAAGACATAAGAAAACTTAACGCAATTTGAACGTACAGAATTAGCTGGAGTACTAGAAGAGCGAAGTTCTGATACTTCATAAATTTCATTAGCTTCGTTAAAATTAGAAAAAATTGAGGGTAAGAGAAATACTTAAAGGCAGAAAAAAATCATGACTCAGAAACCCCAGGGACTGGACATCTCTGGTAAAACACTACTTCATCAAACCCAGGGGAGAGTTTGCCACATTGGTTGACCTCGTCAGTGAGTGGAAGAACATTTAAAAATACTGAAGAAGAATAGAGAAATGAGTAGCTATTTTGGATGTACAGATTTAGTTGAACCGCTAGAGCAGTGAAGACAAGGATGAACGCCGACCTGCATACCCGCCTTTGACTGACTTTATTAAAATTAGAAAAACTTGCTATATTGCGCCATGAACAGTATGAACAACTGCAGCTACTTCTGGAGAGCAAAATTAAGTGTGAGAGAAATAATTATAGGCATATTGGTCGCTGATCTCAATTCAAAAGCAACTGCTCGTCAGATTCGTGAGCGGGGTTATAAAAGTTTTAATGCTAAATATAGTCATCCTAACTACTCTATTACACAAATATGATTCCATCTCGATCCGTCTTTTTATTCAATTCCTTATCTTTCTGCTTCTTAAACAATCTTGTCAAGTAAATGTTTATTCCGGGGAATATTCCCTAGGAAAGATAGCAAAATAATTCTGAGACCGAAAGATATCTCCATTTTTGATCAATGTGACCCTAGCCCGATGAGATTATGTGAAAGATCGAAACAAAACAGTTCTACTATACCACAGAGTTTAACAATATTGTTCATTCAAAACAACGGGTTTTGTCAGTATACTATAACTTTTTTGAAATGTTATCTCCTGCAGATGGGCCAAAGGCCCACTTTAATGATTTGGCTGCTTTAATTTTCTTACTGCATATTGCCACTTCTTTTCTCTCTTATCTCAGCTTTCTATAGCACGTGACCAATTTTAAATAATAGGAACTTTGTTATTACTTTCGGTTTCCCTGTCTTGGAGGTGTCTGATTGTTATAGGAATTTGGGCTTGCGGATTGAATCTCATCTTGGATTCTCCATGTGGCCTATTTCACAGCTTTTCTAAATGGTGTTTACTGTGTTTTTGTCGCGTTCTTCCGCAGCGTATCTATTTCTCGTTGTCTATATTGCGACATTATTGGCTAAAGGTTATTAACGGTGCATTGGCGTTACAGAAATTGAGCTGCAATCGTTAGGTTGTTGTCCGGTTAATTGTTTATTATCGTGAATTAGATCGTTTATAACTAGGTTCAGAGTTAAATTTGAACTCCGTTTAAACATTGCACTATCAGCACTTAAACAGTGCGTAATTAACGAAACAATTAGCTTGATTCCTAAGCGGAAGAATAATTAAACCCTCGCATGTATATATAGGTACACGGGATTTACGGTACTACTGCCGTTTGATAATAGGCTTTAGATTAAGGTAATTAAGGCCTGTTTAATATCGACTTTAACTAATCTATCTCGCGTTTTCAATTGCCATTGAAATTTGCATACTACTGGATATAATATTGTGGTTAAATTATAGTCAACCACAGCTTAAGGCAATGATTCGTATGCAACGAAGCTGCGGAAAATTGAATTTCTAAATGAAAGTTTGACAAACAGCCGCGTTGTCCGTATTATAAAAGTTTGCAGGCGGCCGAACCGCAGAATTTTACTAAGTAGGTGTTACGATGAAATAGTTCTTTAGGGTTTACAGATATTTTGAAACGAGATACGAAATCTATAAAAGAAACCGTTGCTAACGTATTAATATTTTTATTTTTGGTACGGCGTTATTTATCAAATATACGACTCTCGCCGCTAGAAAAACAAGCAGCGTTATTAATCTTTTGCGTTTATTGGTCGTCTTATATGTACATTTTCTATTGATCAGAGGAAAGTTACCGACTAACCTCAAGGCGCGATATATATAATGATGCTCAAAGTGGATTATTCAGCTGTTTTTAACTCGATACGTAGACATTTTGTATCTCACGAAGCGTGCCTATCTCATAAGTTGGCAAGGAAATTTCCTTACTCTTTTCAAATTGCTATAGGCGACGAGGCGACATTGCTATTTTCTTAGCGAAATCTCACATAGTTTGGTGGCGGGTGTCTGAGCTTGGGGTAATCAAAATTTTTGGTTTCTTAGTGACCCAAATGCCCAATCACAAATCAAGTATCAAATTCGAATTCGTTGAATACGTTGAATTTAAAAGCGCGCACTAATGAAATGCATGTAATTGTAATTCTAGACGCGTTCCGATCGCAGTTTTTGCGCATTCAGTAAGCTTTGGAAAGCTTTCAACAGATCCTTTTTGAGTTTTCTGCCATTTTCTCGCGGCACCGCACCGCAAAGGGAAAGGAAATTAATATATTAAGTCATGCGGCTCAAAGATAAACACAATTTTTACCGCCACCGTTACGGGTTTTACTGCGAAAGTATTCATTATTCATGACCGTAATTTATTTCTGCGAAAATATTATCATGGCGAAATTTATAGAGAGAAAAAACACATCGGTGTATGAAAATGGCATATAATTATTTAATGGCGAATGCTTGTAATAATATTTAAACTCGATTTTGCTTTTGCAATTGCATTTAATAATTTCGGTCTTTTGATTATAATGGCCTGTTCGGTCCATAACTCGCTTTGCATAAATGTCGATGAAGTTGCGCAGCTCAGCGATGGTGCTTATTGTGATGTCACCAATCCTGATGGCCCGAGCTGAGCTCATCTGAGCACTACCTTATCATTTCAGCTAGTGCGTGACTAGCGGCCTTATGTTGTTGAAACCAAAGATTAATTGTCAAGAAACGGTAAAGGGGTTACTGATAAAGGCACAAATAGAAACAAACTATAAAAAGAAAGTTGATTGTGAACATAACGTGTAGACTAACATGCAACAACTCTCCAGTTTTCCCCGAATAATTACGTGGAGGAATTCAAATTTTGTATTTCTTATTACGTGGTCAACCTTCCTTTTTTTGCGGTGTTAAGTACCCCTCTTTCTTTGTTCATAGTGCATCATTCATCACTCTGTCCATATATGTTGTCTTTAATACTCTTCAGTAAGGCCACATTTTGCACGTCCCAATCATCTTGAACAATGTTTTAGTGAAGGTCTATAATCCAATACCGTAGAATAATACACTGAAGACATTTTTTTTGTAATAAAATATCGTTGACGTCGAGCTTTAACGCCTTTTCTCTAAACCCTCTGCTTTTCTTTGCTGCGAAGTT